CTCATGATTCCATTTAGCAGTTATATCTACATTTAAGGTCCATTTAAATTGATTGTGAGATTAATTTCAATGATATTAAAAGTAACAATAGAGATAAAATTAATTATTGTAATAATAAAATTAAATATTGTAACTATAAAATTAAAATTAATAATAAAATATGTGTTTGAATATAAATGTAATTATAATAATGAAATGAATTGCACTAAAAAAAAAAAGATTATTAAGGACATTAAAATAAAACTTGTAAGGAATAAAAATTTTAATTTATAAAATAATAATATTTTTAATTCTTAATATAATAATAAATTTTATATTTTATATTTTATATTTTCTTAAATTAAAAAATAAAAAAATAAATATACTGATAAATAAAACAATTGGGATATACATATATAAAAATAAAAAAAAAAAAAAAAACACCTCCAACTAACCACCGGAAGGCTCCCTCTCCAATTACCAACTGAAACTACGGGTCAATACAATTCCCAACATCGTCGCACTGAAAGGGAGCCAAACAAAGTGACAGTGTGATTAGGATAAAAAGTTGACACTAACACTAACCGTGCTGTACTGACGGTTCCGTGGCTCTCAAATGAACCCTTAGTTTGACAAAATTCTCAGGAGGGCTATGCGAAGCAATATCCAATATGGTTTTCCATTCTATAATTCCTTGAACACATGGGAAGAGATGATAAGTTTAACTAGAGGTGTTTATGGTTTTGGGTTGGGCAGCTTGCATGTCCAAACTAACTAGCCCGACCACTGACATCTTTGCAATTGTTGAACTAGAATTTCAAATATCCAAATCTGGCTTGGTTGGATTCAAATATCTGCTTTAGTATTTATTTATTTTGATATAATTATTCATTTATACAAAGATATAATTTATTAGAGATTTAAACCTTTACAATAGTTAAAATTAGAACATCTTTTTTGTGTAAAAGGTAAATCATTTTAAGTTTCTCTTTAATTTCTAACCTTCATGCGAATTTTTAAACCATTGTACTCGTTCCAAAAAACAAGTTTTGGTATATGCGGGTGTTTGGTGCTATATTAACCATAGGTGGTACAATATACTCAAACTCAAAAACTTGCAAAAAAAAATTATATTTAAATCTGACTTTATTCTAATTGATTTAAAAGTATAATATTCAAACTTAAAATGATTTTAATTCGAAACAATTTAAACTCGAAATAATCCAAATCTAAGATTAATTTAAAAACAATCAAACTCGAAAAAAATCAAATCACTCAAATCCAAAAAATTTTATATTTAAACTTGATTTGATTGGAATCCTAAATATCACACCCAATTTTGCTTAAATCTAATTATTTGTCATAAGGTGCATAATTCTCTAAATAAAAGAACTTAAATTAAATCTGTTATCTCCAAATTATATATGTTAAAATGGTGAAAAAAATAAATTCAATATTGATTAAAATTAAGATTTACCCTAAACATATAAATATAACAAATACTCTTTCATTTAACTAGAATTGTAAGGATTTAAGTTTTTATTGTATGTGAATTTGATTCTAGTTAAATTTTTAATTTGTTAGTTAATTTATTTATGTGATTATTAAGCATTTTTTATGTAGGAATATAATACTTGATTATGATAATAACTTGTATATGTAATTTTTAAAAAAATCAATTAATTTGAGATTGAAATATTCATCTTGAATCTTAAGAATATCTTGTTAAAGGAGGAAATCAATTAAGTTAGAAGTAGCCTTTGTATTAAATTTCAATCTAAAATTTATATTAAGAACTCCAAATCATTCAACCAAGATTATATTTGTTTAAAGCAGCCTGATGTATTGGAGTTGAACAACCGCACCTTACCAATGTACATACAATGACTAAAACCAAAGTTGGAGATGATGAATGTCTATGCGGCCCATCGTAATTTACTGCCTTTTTAGCTACTGCTGGATATAAAAAAATAAATAAAATAAATAAAAATAAAAATAAAAAACTTCGATAACAAAATAATAAAAACAAAAAAATGATTTAATTTTTATATAATTATTTTAAAAAATATTTAATAATTTTAAGACTAAAATTATAATATTTTTTATCTTCAAATTATGACCGCATAAATACTTTGGAGATTGAAAACATTTTTTTTATTTACAAAATATGGGATTTGTCATGTTTGTTGCATAGTATCATTAATAAGATAAAATAATAATTATTTTATATTATATTTAATTTATAGCTAAAAAAAATTATAGGATTACAAAAATAATTAATCATTCTTTTAATATAAAATAATTTAATCCTTTCAAAATAAAAAATATTATTTTTAATTCATAAGATTAAATTTATTTGTCTTATTATATTTTTAAAAATTATATGAATAATTTAAATTATATAAATTTTAAAAAAAATAATTTTAAATAATCAATAAATTATTTTATTTTAATTTTCATATACATTAAACATAAAACATAATGATATTATTTAATTTAATTTTATTTATAATATTATTTTATTTTATTTTATTTTATCATAATTTTATTTGCCAACTATATTCCTTCTTATATTATTTCTTAAAATTTTTTAATCGTTAGACTAAGAAAACCAAAAACAACACGCATCTTTGACCTTTGTATTCTGTCAGGGAATATTTGTAAAACGTGTCCAAGCAACATTCAATACTTCTCTATTACTTAGCCAAAACAAAAGGCCAATTTCCTTTCCTTTCCTTTCAAGAAACAAATTATTCAACAAATTAAAATAAAAATAAAAATAAAAAACTTCGATAACAAAATAATAAAAACCAAAAAGTAATTTAATCTAATTTATTTATATAATTACTTAAAAAAATATTTAATAAATTTAAGACTTAAATTATAATATTTTTTATCTTCAAATTATGACCGCATAAATACTTTGGAGATTGAAAACATTTTTTTTATTTACAAAATATGAGATTTGTCATGTTTGTTCTATAATATAATTAATGAGATAAAATAATAATTATTTTATATTATATTTGATTTGTAACTAAAAAAAATTATAGAATTACAAAATAACCAATTATTCTCTTAATATAAAATAATTTAATTCTTGTAAAATAAAAAATATTATTTTTAATTCATAAGATTAAATTATTTATCTTATTATATTTTTAAAAATTATATTAATAATTTAAATATATAAACTTTGAAAAAAATAATTTTAAATAATCAATAAATTATTTTATCTTAATTTTCATATACATTAAACATAAAATATAATGATATTATTTTATTTTATTTTATTTTATCATAATTTTATTTATCAATTATATTCCTTCTTATATTATTTCTTAAAATTTTTTAATCGTTAGACTAAGAAAACCGAAAACAACAAGCATCTTTGACTTCTGTATTCCGTCAGGGAATAAGTGTAAAACGTGTCCAAGCAACATTCAATACTTCTCTATTACTTAACCAAAACAAAAGGCCAATTTCCTTTCCTTCCCCTTTTCGCCGCGTTTTATATTAACATTTCGCCTTTCCTAGGAAACGTATATCTAAGGAAATTGGTGGCGTGTGTAGGTAGTTCTAATTTTTTCATCAACTACAATTTTTATAGAAAGAAAATTTGAACTCGACTTCTAAATCAATTATTATCATTCATGTTCTTATCATAAAATAAATATTCAAATGCAAAAATATTTTAATTTTAATCAAAATAAATATTCATGTGTGATTTTTTTATATGCTTGATAATTTTGTTAGCGTTATTTGAATGCACATGCATGATTAAAATTTTTTGTTAATTATAAATATATTTATAATTAAATAAATATATATCCATGATTATTAAATCATTCAACAAACAAATTATTCAACAAATTAAAATATAAATATGACACATGAAGTTAAAAACCTCAAAGTTAAAAGTACCGATACATGTCTATATGTTCAATAAATATTTTATTTATTAATTTTTAATATATATATATATATTAAAACATATGTCAGTACTAATTTTGTTTGTAAAAGTTAAATATTTTACGAAACAGTATCTATGATAAGTTATATATCAATTATTACTAAAATTTATTTTATTTAATATTTTTCATTAAAAAATTCATGTATATATACATATAAAATAAATTCTCTTTTATTTTAAATTGTCATTAGATGAAATTGACATGTTAAAACGAATAATTGCTAAGCATTTAGGTAACTGTTATGACGTGACATTAAGTTTTCTGTTCAAATCCAACTTTCTTTCTCTCTCCAAATCTCCTTAATACTAAAATGAGAGGATTACAATATATAATTTAATTTAATTAATTTTTTATAATTATTTTTAAAAAATAATATTTAAATTTGATATTCAAATTTTACTATTAATAATATTTTTTATTCACAAATTGTGATCTCTTATATGAAAAAAAAGGAAACTAATTATCTTCTCATACTTTTCACTCAAAACATAATTTTTGTCTCATAAATATTATCTTATTTTATTTTATTTTATATTTTAATTTTAAGTTAATTATTTGAAATATTTGGTTTAATTAATTTCTAACAAATATATATTACAAAATTATTTTATTATTTCTTCAAATTTTAATTAATAATAATTTATAAAAATCAAACTTCACGAAAAAATAAATCAGATACGGATAATTTCCAAGTGTCAGCAAATTTAAGATTATATAAAACCAACAAAAGGAATTGCCAAATGTACCAAATTGATAAGATGAAACCAAAGTAAATTAAAAAAAAAAAAAAAGAAAGAAAGCCCCTGGGAAGGACACAAGTGTAAATGCTTAGTTTGGTCGGCCATACGGAGATTTATACGTCGTCATGACATAATGAGAAAACGAGTGGAAAATACCGAAAACTTTGAAATGGGAGTGGGCAGCCATCCTCCTGACGGTGCAGGCCGCGGACTGCCATTCCCAAAGGCAAAACTTCGCTTTCTACGAAACCTCCAATTCCCCCCTTCCCTTCTGCTCTTCTGCTATATATATGCTCTTCTTCTTCTTCTTCTTCAGACATATATTTCCTCCTATAGATATTAACTTCTTCTCAGTTCTTGAAACCATATCTTTATTTCCTGCTTATTCAAATCAAATTCAAAGATGAGCCAAAACCAGCAGCAGCAGAAAAATCAACCACCAGGTTTGTACTCTTCTTCACATTGATCTTTCAGTTTTTTTTTTTTTATCCATACTACTAATTATTTTGGCCTCCCCCATGTAAGTAGATTGAAAATTTTCATTATGGTTTCTCAATTATGTAAAAAACTAGCAACTAAAATGGTTTACTTGTTGCATGGTTCAGTTTCATACCCACCACCATCCAAGGCACCAGGACCCTATGTAGCTCCACCACCAGCTGGTTACCCGATGAGCAAAGACGACGGTCAGCAATATTCCCAGAACCCTGTTGCAGTCGAAACCAAGTCCAGAGGTGATGGATTCTGGAAGGGATGGTAAGTCTTTCTAATTAGTACATACTCAAATCTTTATTTTTTTTTTCTCTCTCTTTTGTGAAATTGTGACTAATTATTATGAGTAAATACTGATCAAATCTTTGGTATTTTTTTGCCTTTTGCAGTTGTGCTGCCCTGTGCTGCTGTTGTCTTCTGGATGCATGCTTTTGAAGATTTACACTGCTTCATTCGTTAGAGTTTATTATTCCATTGTTTATACATACATTTAGTTTGATTGTTTGATTCTCATACACTGGGAATTATAGGGTTTCTTTTTGATTATTTGTATAAATGAGGATGATCAGACTTTTAGGTTTATGATCTCCACATGTACTTATGTTTGAATAAATTATTATTCATATTTCTCTAAGACGGTTGTTTGTTGCCATGTTTTTTTTTTTTTAAATAATTTTATATTCTCAGGCTTTTTTTTTTTTACCATAATGTATTCCAGATGTCTTTATCTATTTCCAGAAATCTCTGCAATAATTGAAGGCATGAATACTAGCAAGCACTATATATTATTACTATTGCTTAAATATTAAAAAAAAAACCCTGAACTTTTAATTTTTTGACATAAATTTTTATGTTTTAATTTATTCAAATAAATCTTATTTGAATATAAATAAATTCTTTTTTCAAACAAAATGTTGAATGTTGTTACATCCGATGACAGTTGGCACCTTTTTGTACGAAGTTGATGTACCATGATGATCTGGCTAATGTTATTAAAAAGTTAGAAAATTTTTCTTTTATTTTAAGAAAAAAGAAAATTTTTATTTTAGTTATTTGCAAAAAGTTCTTTTTTTTTTCAATTTTGGACCACATCCAAGTGTTGTCAATTTTCATTTTGACAAAAAAAAAATGTAATTGGCATTAACGATAATATAAATTAATTTTCTATTTAAAATAAAATTTTATTTATATTAAAATCATTACTCTTTACTAACTTCTCTCTTTTTGTTTTAACCAAAATAATAACAAAGAAAACTCCCCCCTTCTTCCACTGCCTAGAAGTGACGTAATATATATATTATATGAGGAGCAAATTTACCCTTTGAGGTAGGATATTCTTGGATATCTACAAATATTAAAAACTTAAAAATTAAAATTTTTTTCATGAACACTTTTAAAAAAAAAATTTTCAAAATATTCTTTTATCGATAAACTTAATAAATTTATAAACTTTTTTTATATTATAAGTGTGATACCATTAAAAAAACTTTGGATTCATCACTAATGTACATACTATTACTTTTACTACACTTCATTTTAATTCAAAGCACTTGAGTCATATTTAGTATATAAGATAATAGATAGGATATGATAATAATTATTTTATATTATATTTAATTTGTAGTTAAGAAAAGAAATAAGATTAAAAGAAAGATTAATTATTTTATTGATATAAAATGATTCGATCATCTCAAATAAAATGAATTATTTTTAATCTATGAAATTGAACTTAAATATTTTATTATATTTTTAAAAATTATATCAATAATTTAAATTATATAAATTTTAAAAATAAATAATTTTGATTAATAAATAAATTATTTTATCTTAATCTTTATATACATCAAATATAAAATAAAATAATATTATTTAATATAATTCTATTTATAATATTATCTTATCCATCCTATTATAATTTTTTATACCAAATGCATTCTTAATATTTATGGATATTTCAACAAACAAATTATTCAAAAAATTAACATATTAATATGACACATGGAGGAAATAACCACAAAGTTAAAAAGTATCGATACATATCTATATGTTTAATAGTTATTTTATTTATTAATTTTTAATATCTATAACTCACAATAAAAACTATCCACGATTGAAGTTTAAACATCCATCTCAGCAATGTCTTAAACAAAAAAGGAGGGTTAAATTTGAGAAGAAAACATATTTTGAAGCTATCAATACAACGCATGGCTAACATCTGTCTAATAAAAACTGAAAACAAAGACAAAGCTTGAGAATGACAGAAGACGGAGTGAGAGGCATTGGGACTCGCAAACATCGTTTACTTCTCTATTTTTTCCCTATCTCTTATTAGATTGTAGGAAAAAAAAATGGGTGCATCTGCTCTATTCTGTCATTTTTGAGCAGCTTCATACCCAAATCTTCAAGAAACAGTAACAGTTAACTCTCCTGCTGGGGTCAAGAGAGATCAGTAATAGATGGGCTTCATAAAACCCACTAAAAATTTGGTAGAAGAAGAAGATATATCCTCGCAGGAACAAACATTACCGCCACAATCGTAATTCCTCTTGCTTCTGGCACTGGTAGGACCTCCTCTGTAAATGTGGTTTTTCTGATTTCGAATTATTATTAATTTGTAACCGTACTTTGAATTAAAATTTTCATAGTTTACTTCATGACCTTTAATCCCAATTTAATTTGTGCTTTCCTCCTCTCCTCATTCATGCGATTTGTTTTAATCCTTTACGCAAGATTGTAAAAAGAAATTTGCTTCTCCTAGAGTTTGAAGCTCACTGACAAGGCAAAGTCTCTACCTTGCATGTTCCTTTTTCTTTCTCTTTTTTTTTTAATTTCTCTTTAATTGTTTTAACAAAGTTTAGCAAACTCCATTGTTGTCGTTGAAAAACTCTGGTAAGCTTATAAAATCTTTATCTTTGTCTTTTTTTTTCTCCTTTATACATTATTTAAAATTTTAAATTTTAACTAATAATAATTTATAAAATTCAAACTTCACCAAAAAACAAAAAGTAAAATTTAGATACCGATAATTTCGATGTATCAACAAATTTAGGATTTTATAAAAACAACAAAAGGAATTGCTAAATGTTCTAAGGAGTTGTTTAATTCGTGAAATTTTGGATTTCAGAAAAATAAATGATCCTTGAGAAAATGTGATATTATATGTTTTTTTTTTTGTTACTTTGAGGCATCTTGGTTTAAAAAAATTCATATATATTAATTCTTAAATAATTACTATAATTTTTTTTATAATGATAATTTTTCATTAGCTTTTATTAATAATAAATACTTTAACATTTACTAACCTATATTATTTAAGATGTTTTTTTGTATAGAAAACACTTTAAATAATTTTTTTATAAATAAATTAAAAAATTATTTTAAGTTTTTTTCAATAAGAGATGCCTTAAATAATATTGTGATATTTTTTTAAAAGAAATTATTTAAGACGTTTTTTATTGAAAAATATCTTAAATAATTTATTTTAAAAAAATATAATAGAATTATTTAAAGCAATTTTATTGAAAAACACTTTAAATAATAAAACTATTGTTGTGCTTGAAGTATCTAGGCAAAAGGCTCATGGAAAATGCTGGGAATCCCAAACAATGAAACTATTATTGCCTCTATGCCAAGAGATGATATGATTGGTGCTTGAATCATCAATAATATTGTAAGTTTTTGTGAGGAAAGAAGGGCTTGCATCATGGAGTCCTTCCATTGGCTGAGGGAAAACCATAGAAGGCATACCAGGATATGATGAGCTTCCTCCTATAAACTCTTATTTAACTCTTCCATAGGGATTCATCTTTGCTTACTCACCAGGGAACAAAAACAAATAAAACTTGATTTGGGTTAGTTTCCTTGTTTCTTTGTATATCAATTTACAATGCAGTAAGTAAACTATTGAACTTTTCTTAAGGGCTATTGGGTGATCGAAAGAGCCTTCAAAACTGGTTCTTAAATGTGGTTAAGCCAAAAAAAAAAGGTATAGAGGTGAGATTGAATTTAGATTATGGGTTATTATGGGTGGAGGCAAAAGTTCATCAATTTAGAGAGACCAAGATGCAGGAAGAACATGGAAGAACTGAGAAACAAGAGGGATGTGAACATGGTGTCATTAGTTTACTATAAAAAAGTCAAAATAAAATCTTGGAGGTTTGGAATATTTTGGATGTTTTTCATTATTAAAGACGTTTACGGGGGAGAAAAAGTTTTAAATGATCATCATTTATGGTTTTTTTTATTCAAATGCCTTAAATAAAGAATTATTTAAATTTTTTTTCTTGTTAAATGTCATTAATTATAATATAAAAAAATTTTTAACAATAAAAATTTACGATTGAGTTATAATTACTTTTAGATATTTTTTAAAAGAATAACTATTTATTTTATAATTTTTTATTCAAATTAAATTTGAAAATAATATTTTTTTTCAAAATCTTAAAATACTATAAAAAATGAATTTTTATTCTGAAATTTTAAAATTTTGAGTATTATTGATAATATATCATTTTTTTCTTAATCGAATTATCTGGAAGCATACGTGAAAATCAAAATATCCATCGTTAAAATTTCGAAAAAAAATTATAAATTTTACCGAATCACAAATGGCCATGAAACTAAAGTAAATTAAAAAAAAAACAAAAAAGCCCTGTGAAGGACACACGTGTAAAACTTATTTTGGTCGCACACGCCGACATTTATTAGTCGTCATGACATATTGAGAAAACGAGTGTAAAATACCGAAAACGTTGAAAATCCTTATTGGGGTAAGTAGTGTAGGAGTTGGCGGCCAACCTCCACACGGTGCAGGCTGCGGACTGCCATTCCCAAAGGGAAAACCTCGCTTTCTACGAACCTCCAATTCCCCCCTTCCCTTTGCTCTTCTGCTATATATATGCTCTTCTTCTTCTTCTTCAGACGTATATTTCCTCCTATAGATATTAACTTCTTCTCAGTTCTTGAAACCATATCTTTATTTCCTGCTTATTCAAATCAAATTCAAAGATGAGCCAAAACCGGCAGCAGCAGATCAATCAACCATCAGGTTTGTACTCTTCTTCACGTTGATCCTTTTTTATTTTAATTTTTATCCATACTACTAATTATTTTAGCCTCCCCCATCTAAGGAGATTGAAAGTTTTCATTATGGTTTCTCAATTATGTAAAAAACCAGCAATTAAAATGGTTGACTTGTTGAATGGTTCAGTTTTATACCCACCACCATCCAAGGCACCAGGACCCTATGTGGCTCCACCGCCAGCTGGTTACCCGATGAGCAAAGACGACGGTCAGCAGTATTCCCAGAACCCTGTTGCAGTCGAAACCAAGTCCAGAGGCGATGGATTCTGGAAGGGATGGTAAGTCATCCTAATTAGTACATACTCAAATCTTTTTTTTTTTTTCTCTCTTTGTGAAATTGTGACTAATTATTAAGAGGAAATACTGATCAAATCTTTTGCATTTGTTTGCCTTTTGCAGTTGTGCTGCCCTGTGCTGCTGTTGTCTTCTGGATGCATGCTTTTGAAGATTTACACTGTTTCATTCGTTAGAATTTATTATTCCATTGTTTATACATACATTTAGTTTGATTGTTTGATGAATTATCGGCATTCTTTTTGATTATTTGTATAAATGGGGATGATCAGACTTTTAGGTTTATGATCTCCACACGTACTTATGTTTGAATAAATTATTATTCATTTTTCTCTAAGACGGTTTTTTGCTTCGATGTTTGATTTTTTTAGATAATTTTATATTCTCAGGCTGTTTTTTTACCATAATGTATTCCACATGTCTATATCTATTTCAACAAATCTCTGCAATAATTAAAGGCATGAATACTAGCAAGCACTATATATTATTACTATTCCTTAAATATTAAAAAAAAACCCCTGAGTTTTTTATTTTTTGAGATAAATTTTTATGTTTTAATTTATTTAACTAAATTCTATTTTTTTATAAATAAATTTTTATTTCAAACAAAATGTTGAATGTTAGAGTCTTCTTGTAGGAAATTGATGTACCATGATGATGTGGCGAATGATATTAAAAAGTTAGAAAAATTTTCTTTTATTTTAAGAAAAAATATCTATTTTAATTTTTTTCAAAAGGTTTTTTTTTTTTCAATTTGGACCACATCATCAAGTCTTGTCAGTTTTCATAGAGACAAAAAAAAAAAAGTTGGCATTAACTATAACATAAATTAAATTTTTATTTAAAATAAAATTTTATTTAATACAAATTAAAGAATAAAATTATCCCGCATGCACGATCTGTAATCATCTGTCCTAAGCTGTTAGGTACAATATATCTTATCCTAACTTGAAGGATTGAAAAATCTATCTACTCCAGATTCTTTCTTCCCAAATATATATATATATATATATAAATTTTCAATATAGCATATTTTAGGGGCAAATTTACCTTTCAAAATAAGGTGTTTATGGACATCTCTAAATATTAAAAAAAAAAATTTAAAAAAAAATTCATTAACACCCTCAAAAAAAAATTTTTGAATTTTTTTATTGATAAAATTAATAAATTTATAAACAATTTTATTATATACTATAAGTGTAACACCCTAGAAAAATTTTGGATTAGTGATTGATATATATATATATATATATATATATATATACCATTGATTCTACCACACTTCATCCTAATTTAAAGCATTTGGTGTTTATGGATAATTTTTTGTTATTAAGGTCTTTATGGATAATAATTTCTATTATCTATTTATATAAAAAAAATTTTATAATACTATGTGATTAAAATCATATACTACAAGGTAATTAAAAAATTAAGAATGGATTGTAAAATATTTCAAAAGCCCACTAATGTTTAAAATTAAGGCCCAAATTTATGATAAAAAAGCCCAGTAATGCCCATCAATATTCCAAAAGCTAAAGGGTTTCACTTAGTCATACTTTATATCCCCTCTTTCTGAGTTTGCTTTATTTCTGGACCTAGGGTTTTTGCGAGGAGAGAATCAGAAACGCTGTAGCCGCCGTCGACATGGTGAAGTTTCTAAAACCCAACAAGGCCGTGATCGTCCTCCAAGGTCGATACGCCGGACGCAAAGCCGTGATTGTGAGATCCTTCGACGAAGGCACACGTGACCGGCCCTATGGCCACTGTTTGGTTGCAGGGATAAAGAAGTATCCAAGCAAGGTTATCCGCAAGGACTCCGCCAAGAAAACAGCCAAAAAATCACGCGTCAAGTGCTTCGTTAAACTCGTGAATTACCAGCACCTGATGCCCACGCGCTATACCCTCGACGTGGACTTAAAAGACGTGGTTACCGTCGATGTTCTTCAGACAAAGGACAAGAAAGTGGCTGCTTGTAAGGCCACCAAGGGGAGGTTTGAAGAGAGGTTCAATACTGGGAAGAACAGGTGGTTCTTTACCAAGCTTAGGTTTTGAGCGGTTTGTTGGACTGGTCGTTTTTTGAAAAAAAAAAAAAACTAGGTTTGAGCTTTATGCAATTTCTTAAACATTTGTGGATTGTAAGGATGGATTTGAATCTGTTTCGATGAGATATTTCTGGGTTCTTATGGTTGTTACATGATGGTAAGTTATTTGCTCATTGTCCGTTATAAATTTATGCGTTTTGAACTTTTCTGATTTCTTTATGATTTACCATCTTGTTTTACCGTATAGCTGCAGATCGTTGGAAGATGAGAATTAATAATTTAATATTAGAACATATTTCAATGATTGGGTATTTTTGTATTATCATTGCTGCTTGATTTGCTCGTGACATGTGATACTAAACTGGAATTTATTTTTTTGATAACTCGAGAAATGGTATGCTTCATCTTGAGGTGCATTTTGTTATTCCTGTTGCATTTTTGGATCTGGTTGGATGTGATTTTTCTTGGATGTTAAATGCAATTTAGTTCTTCAATCCTTCACCTGTAATGTCGTGGTGACTATTGATCAGTCTGTTAGTTTTCTGGCTTGGCACTACGCTTGCACTTGTAATTTGCCTTGGTCAAGAAATTAAGCTTGTAGGAATAAGTTGTACAAACCATTAGATTCTTATTTTTGAAGTCTACAGCGGAACATGCTGGTGTCCGAATTTAGAGTTTAACTCAATAATTTAATCAAATATTGTTGTATATTCTAGTTTAGAAGCTAGGATTTATTTGGATTAGTTTATCCTGGCTTGTTGCTTTAGTTTGAAAGTAACCTTTGATTTCTTGTGCTGGTTTTGTTATTCATTTTGTTGTTTTATATTTTATTTCTATCATTCTCTCATGGCAAAGTTGGATTCTTGACTGATGTTCTGAAGGCAATGGCTTTACACGATTGTGGGATTGCTATGCTTGTTTGAAATTGCTAGCTTGAGTTGGAAGCAAAAGACTATTTTAGGGTTTCTCATTTCTGGAAATGAGTTTGTTGTTTTTCTAGTTCTGGACTGCATTAGTTTCTTAAGCAACAGTATGTCTTGGTGGGCTGGCTAAGACTGTTTTGGTATTGATGATGCATTTCTGGGATTTAAAAAGTCCTTTCAAACTGAAGTTGCATTGGTGCCTTGTTAATGATGGTCACTTTTTTATTTTTAATGCGATTGGCTTATGCTTATGCACCTGGGTCCTTCATACTTTTCTGCATAGATTGTAGCATTTGGGGTATTATTATAGTCTACAAGCTTTCAATACTTGAAAATTAGCCTTCTTGTTTATTCATTATTAAGGGCTCATTTTGTGCTCCTGGGAGCCCCGGTGCAACGGGATTGGAGCCTCCTAGCACGCCACACCCTTCTGGCCTCTTGCCTATTGGGTTGAGTGAAGAATCCCCCCTCTCAATCTGAAATCACCTTCCCCTTCCATTTTTGCCCCTTTGTTTTTTTTTTTTTTTAATTTCTTGGCCTTGAAACAAGTCTCAACACTTTTTTTTTTTCATTTTGTTAATTTGTTTTTATGCTTAAAAGTTTTCAAATTATTTATTCATGTTAGTTTTCCCACCTTTCTTTTTTATTTTCATTTTGTTAGTTTAGGATTAATTCCTTTATCTTTTGGTTTATTTAATATTATAATCATTTGATTAAGGACCCAATATATATTGGCATTTTGTTTGTAATATTTTTGAGTCCATTTTATTTTATTTTCTTTTCTCCTCGGTCATTGAAGAACATCCACAATAGACAATTGGATGTTTTGATTGCTTTGTCTATGCTTGCAAGTGCAATAATTTACAAATTAAGCTCATATTTTCATGCTCACTTGTTACAAGCTTAACTCAAGTTATCGAGCCTAACACCTTTAAGGTTAACGACTTGGGTTAATGCTTGTCTTCAAATTCAAGCTCTAAGCTCAGATTATCTAGCTTGGTAATTTGCAAACTTAGTGATTTGATTATCTAGTTGGCATCTTGCAAGTTAAATATTTCAAGTGAGTCTTCATGTAAATTCGGTATAATCTAGACTCAGCTTAGCAACTTCTGGTTTTAGTGACTATTTGGATTTACCGCAGCAACAAAGCCGTGGGATTTGCCATCTTTTAGTAATTTTTAATTATTTATTAATTTTTTAAGTGTTAAATAATTTTAATAAATTTTAATTATCTATTAATTTCATAAATGTCAAATAGATTAATTTTTTATTATGTATAAAATTTAATTTATTACTTTTAATTTTTTTCTTCTCACTATAATTAATCTTATTATTATTGTAATATTTATATTTTAATAAATATTTTATCGTTGATTTTAATTTTACCACAAAATAACTAATTTTACTTTATCATTGTTTTTAATATCACTAAAATAAGTTTCATCATTTATTCAAATGAAGCTTTAATGACGGTAAAATCTATGCTCTCAGAGTAACTTAAAAGTTTTGGTCACGCTTAGGGTGCCTTTCGGATTTCATCGGATCCTCTGATACGAAGCAGTTGCTGTAAAAAATTGCGTCACCCGCGGCATTGTAATTCAAACAATCTACCAATGCATTGCAATTTTCATTTATTGGAGCTTAGGGTTCCAATCTACCATCGTCCTTTTCTTCATTTTGTTTGTTTTCTTTTTTATCCTTTAACACGCTAAACAGTGAACTTTTTTTTTTAGTTTTTATTTAAAATTTATAAAGTAATTTTTGTTAATTTAATATAAGAATAAAATTTATTATTATATAATAAATCAATAAATAAATAAAATTTTTATTATACAATAAGCTAATAAATAAATTTTATTGTTTATTAACAAAATTATAATTTGACATAAAATAATTTAATAATTTTTTTAAAATAATTTATTAATTTTATAAATATTAAATAATTTAAAATTTGTATTACATATAAGTTTTAGTTTAGTATTTTTAATTTTTTTATTACAATTTATTTAACTATTAATTATATAAAAAAAATGAAGAGAGTTTTGTGTACATGATCATGCTTCCTTTTTATATATCTTATGAATGATAACATGATTGGTTGTATAAGTAGTATGTACATTCCTAAGACAATGTGTAAACCATGCATGAGTACCGATGACGTACCAAACGAAGTGGCAACCAAGGTGCAACATCAAGAAAGATGATTAAATGGGTTTTTGGAATATTATAGATCATAGATAGGTTTCTTGAGACTGGCCGCAATAATCTTTTGTAATTTGCATTTTTCCTATATTGGGCGAAGAAAAAGTAAGAAACACTGAACGTTGTTTCTGGAAGAAATGTGAAGCAAGTTGTTCTGTTGCTCCAATGTGAATTTCCAAAACTGGATCAGTTAAAAACAAAGTTCTTTAGGAATAGCTCCAAACGCTTCTTCGCCGAAAAAAGAAAGGTGTGGATCTGTATTAAAAGGACTACATGCAAAGAGTTGAGAAGCCTCAGGAACCATTTTCCTCGAGTATGAAAGCCGGAGATCTGGACTACTTAAAATAGATTGCCAGAAACATGAGCAGTCAAATCAATTTATTCCATACATAAAGCAGCTGTTTTTGACCAACAGGCAAGGGGAGGAGTGAAACCAAGTTCCCCAACCAGCCTCAAAATCTGAGCAAGAAAGCATACACAAAAATAAAGCTTTCCATTCTGCGGTGCATAACTTGCATGAAAAAGGAAAATTCAAACGAAAATCAACGAAGGGGGCAAAAACACAAAAAACCCTAACTAATAACGCTTGCCCAGAATCACACCAATGATCACGGACACAAAGGCTACTCCCATGATGAACTTTAAGCTTGTCAAAGCAGAAGCCTCAGTGTGGGTAACTGATGAGGAAGAGGAGGCAGCTGCTTCTGACTTTCTCTTACTCTTACGTTTTGATGGTGCTGAAAAAGTTAATCCATCAATATCCCTGGATTTCACCTCTACGCCACCCTTCATTTCGGCTGCACTGCTATCACCCTGCAACGCATAATTCAGAGTAAGCAACTCTTAAATTTCAATAAAATGTAGCCAAAAAGATCTTGAATATAGTATCTTTTTGAGGACTAAAACTATCAAGGGGTGACCAATCTACATTTCTTGCTTTTCCCCACTAATCTATTAGCATAACAAGAAGATTTAAACAAAATAAACCTGATAAAGTTGGAAGATAAGCAGACCATTGGCCTTGTTTTTCAGTTGCAAAAAATTAACAATATAAGAATGTTTTAATATGACAGGATATTTTCGTCTTCCTGTTTCATTCATGGGAAGCACAAATCAGAGCAAGAAGAGAAGGGAAGTAAGGAAAGTGGGAGGGCTGAGGCTGGGAAAGGTAACTGCAGGATAGGTAGGAGACTTGGTTCTTTTGATTTTATCCTTCCTTGTAAAATATATTTATTCATAACCTCAAGAATGGCATACTTCCTAAATCTATTAAAACATGTTTGTCTCCTGTTCCCATAAGCTCCAAAGCTTTTCCGAGTGAAAACAATAAAAGATAGACTCCTCTCAGAAGCAAATACATCTAGTTATCAATATTTGTACCCTTTTATTTCATGGCTTCCTCTGCCCACTTGAGGAACCTTTTCTTACCTACTTCGAATATGTGAAGTGTAAGTGAAAGGATTGTAAGTGGAGATTAAACTATGAACTGACCTTCACTTTAGCTTCAGCCACTTGCAATTTATCCTTTAACTCTTTGACCTGCTTCTCGCGAAGTAATGCTTCTTTCCTTTTGGCGTCAAGCTCTTCAAGTGAATGCTTTAAAGCTGCTTCTCGTTCCAACTCTTTCTGAGAATCTGCCTCTTTCTGTTTGTTTTACATTTTTAACAAAGAATAACAACAAATGGTTACTTCCTATTCTTTAGTACTGATAATTTCAAACATGACAAGTATAAGAAATCTTTATTGAAATTTCATTATTAAGTTTGATATCAAAAAATATTTATCAGTTTAAACTTGATGTAATGGTAGGTGTCAGAACTTGTATCAATTATCAATTCATCCTACCAAAAAAGCATTGCAAAGATGCCTAATCTTTAATAAATATAGTGTCTAACCTGTTGAGCAATGGTTGTTTGAGCGAGGTCTAAATCTCTTTGAAGTTGAAGCACCTGTTCATTGATAACATCTCTATCACTGATTTTTTGTGCATGATCCTCTAATTTTGAAGTTAATTCAGCCACTCTTACAGAGGCAGCTGTCTTAACACTTTCAACCTACAAGCAATAAACCAAATAATCAGAACTGATCATTGGTATTTAATTTGGAAAAAGTAGACAGTCAGTTTCCTTCTTTATTAACAGAATATAATACCTCTTCTTTCAATTGAGTTTCAACTGTCACCAACTGTTCTTCAAGTTCTTTGACACGAATTTGCACCAAGGAACTCTCCGCAATCTCGACCTTGAGATTTCTAATCTCCAATTTTAGAGATTCCTCATTTTCTTTTTCATCTTTCAATTGCTCTTCTAGCTGTGATAGTAGAGACTGAAGTTCCATCTTTGTATTCTGATGTGTTTCATTGAGCAGGTTATTCTCTTCCATTAGTGAAGAAATCTGTAACATCAAAAAATATTTTTAAAGGAACTTATATTAGAAAATGGAAAATCATCACACTGTTGTTTATTAAGATACTTGTAAAATTTTCAACAAACCTGAGATTGCAATCTCTGTCCTTCAGAAGTAATCTGCTGTGTTAAATCTTCTATAGCCTTCTTTGAAGTGTGAAGTTGTTCAGATGTTTCATCTTTCTCTGTCAGGGCTGCAGCCAGTTTTCCCTCCAAATCACTAAGTTTTGACTCATAAGTGGCAAGTTCCTCAGTCAGCTTCAAATTCGCCTCAGCTAGTCCTCCACTCTCCTTTTCAAAGTGAGCTGACTTGGTTTGCAGTTCCTCAACAAAGCTTTCCAGCTGCTTTAATTTTTGAAGAGTCTCTTCCACCTCAACTTTTCGAGATACAGCAATTGTGGAAGCTTCATGAGCTTGTTTTTCATATGTTTTAATTTGGCCTTCAAGCACATTCAACTTTTCAATCAGGTCATTAGCTTCTAATTCCTTTTTAGTGTATTTCTCAACAGCTTCATGTAATCGTGCTTCTGCTTCAACAATTCGGGCTTCAGCTTCAGCTCTAAGTTCTGAGGCCCTTGTATGCTGATCAGATAATTCTCTAATTGTGTACAGATGAGAAGCAATCTCTTGAGCAGTTACTTCCTTCTCAGAAACAGCTGAATTAAGCAATTCTTGAAGTTCATCAACTCTGCTCTCGAGCTGAATGTTTGTCTGAACTACAATTTCATTCTCTGATGAAGACTGAAGAGCTTTATTTTCTACTTCCAGTATCTCTTTTCTCAGCTGTTCATTTGTGCTTTCTATCGAAGCCAGTTTCATTAAACTCTGATCCAGTTCTTCTTTTAGAGCTGCAGACTCTCCAGCTGCTCGAGCAACCTGTTCTTCATAGACCTTTATCTGATCTTCAAACAATTTAAGTTTCTCAAACAGAGATTTCGTCTCTGAATCCTTGTTGGTCAAGTTTTCCATCAGTTCTTGGAGCTTAAGCTCTGAATCCCTTGTTAGAGATTCATGTAATGACTCAAGCTCTGAGTTTCTTGCACTAGTTTGCTCTAATACTCTTACATGTTGCTCTAGTTGCTCTTCAGCAGATTTGAGCTTTTCCATTACCTCACTTTCTCTCAAACCAGCAGCCTTAAGATCATTTTCAATGCTTTCTAACTTCTGTTGTGTCAGATTTAAATCGCTCCTCAAGATTTCCACCAGATTTTCTGCTTCAGCAAGCTTTTCACTGGAGTATTGGGATGTCTCTTCTAACTTTTTCTTCTCATCTGTTGCTAAATTTAAGCACCCTGTCAATTCCTTTTCCTTCTCATTCGCTATTTGCAATGCAATATCAAGGCTGGATGTTCTAGCTTGGAATGCCTCAAGTTTGGATGCAAGTTCAGTTACCTTTTCAGAGTACCTAGTGGACTCAGCTTCTGCCTCCCCACACTTCTTTTCTAATTTACTTATCTGTTCTTCAAGTTCCTGAATCCTGTACTTCTCTGCTTCAAGCAACAACTCCAACTCATTGACCTTCTTGTCGGCACCCTCTAATTTGGAATGAGAGATCTGGAACAGATCCTCTAGCTCAAGGCTGCGCTGATGACTCATATTAGCTCGGTCCTCATGTTGAGCACTTTTCTCCACCGCAATCTTCAACTCCTGTGCAAGCTCTGAGTTTTGCATTGCTGACTGATCTAGTGTTGATTCTAGCTGCTTTACCTTCTCCTCATATTCCTGCATTTGATCGTTCAGTAGCTTCTTTTCTTCTTCAACTGCTCCCAGCTTGATGGTAAGTTCAGATATTTTCCCAGAGAATTCCTTCACTTCTTTCTCAGCTTCAAAGCCTTTTAGTTCTACCAAATTTAACTGTTGTTCAAGCTCCACATTCCTCTGCTCAGCTGCTATAAACCGTGCCTCAAGCTCCCTCAGTTTCACTTTTGCGTCTTCTGCTGCTTCATTTGAAGCCCGAAGCACATTCTCCAGCTCAATATTCTTTTGAGTAACAGTTGCTGCAATGGCTCCAGATTCACTACGGAGCGCCTCCAGAGATTTCAATTTCTTTTCAAGCTCCTCATTATTAGACAGAGCCTGAGACAAAAGAGAATCAGTTTTACAGAAATTCTCATCTGAAAGCTTCAATTTTTCTTCAAGTTCGCTGCACAACTCTTTCATCTGTGCTGCATTACTGTTGAGATCTGCCAAGGCTGTTTCTAGAGCTTCTTTTTCTTTTAGTACTTCACTTAATTCTTCCTGTACGATGGAGACCTGTTCTTGTTGGGCCTTCAACCCAGCTTCAACCAATTCCCTTGCTTTCACTTCCTCGTCCAGTTTCAGCTTCATATCTACCAACTCAGAAACCTTTGCTTGAAGATCTTCTTTAGTTGCAGTAAAAATATTCTCAAGAGTTGAGATATCTTCCTTCACCTTGGATTCTGAAGCCTTTTTCAGGTCCAACTCTTCAGTCAGTTCATTAATACGAGCTTCCTTTGAATTAAGTCTTTGCTCCAAATTCAGTACTAGTGATTTAGAAAGTGCCAACTCCTCCTGAGCTGCAGAAAGTTCAGCTATTCTGCTTTGAAGTGCTTCATTGACCTTCTGATTTTCAGCAACCTTCTCATACAGGCCCTTCACTTCTTCCTTCAGGGAGGCCATCCGATCTTCTTTTTCTTTTAGTACTTTACTTGATTCTTCCCGTACAATCGAGACCTGTTCTTGTTGGGCCTTCAGCCCAGCTTCAACCAATTCCCTTGCTTTCACTTCCTCGTCTAGTTTATGCTTGATAACTTCCAACTCAGAAACCTTTGCTTGAAGATCTTCTTTAGTTGCAGTAAAAATATTCTCAAGAGTTGAGATATCTTCCTTCACCTTGGATTCTGAAGCCTTTTTCAGGTCCAACTCTTCAGTCAGTTCATTAACAAGAGCTTCCTTTGAATTAAGTCTTTCCTCCAAATTCAGTACTAGTGATTTAGAAAGTGCTAACTCCTCCTGAGCTGCAGAAAGTTCAGCTATTCTGCTTTGAAGTGCTTCATTGACCTTCTGATTTTCAGCAACCTTCTCATACAGGCCCTTCACTTCTTCCTTCAGGGAGGCCATTCGATCTTCTTTTTCTTTTAGTACTTTACTTGATTCTTCCCGTACAATCGAGACCTGTTCTTGTTGGGCCTTCAGCCCAGCTTCAACCAATTCCCTTGCTTTCGCTTCCTCGTCTAGTTTATGCTTGATAACTTCCAACTCAGAAACCTTTGCTTGAAGATCTTCTTTAGTTGCAGTAAAAATATTCTCAAGAGTTGAGATATCTTCCTTCACCTTGGATTCTGAAGCCTTTTTCAGGTCCAACTCTTCAGTCAGTTCATTAACAAGAGCTTCCTTTGAATTAAGTCTTTCCTCCAAATTCAGTACTAGTGATTTAGAAAGTGCCAACTCCTCCTGAGCTGCAGAAAGTTCAGCTATTCTGCTTTGAAGTGCTTCATTGACCTTCTGATTTTCAGCAACCTTCTCATACAGGCCCTTCACTTCTTCCTTCAGGGAGGCCATCCGATCTTCTTTTTCTTTTAGTACTTTACTTGATTCTTCCCGTACAATCGAGACCTGTTCTTGTTGGGCCTTCAGCCCAGCTTCAACCAATTCCCTTGCTTTCACTTCCTCGTCTAGTTTATGCTTGATAACTTCCAACTCAGAAACCTTTGCTTGAAGATCTTCTTTAGTTGCAGTAAAAATATTCTCAAGAGTTGAGATATCTTCCTTCACCTTGGATTCTGAAGCCTTTTTCAGGTCCAACTCTTCAGTCAGTTCATTAATAAGAGCTCCTTTTGAATTTAGTCTTTTCTCCAAATTCAGTACTAGTGATTTAGAAAGTGCCAACTCCTCCCGAGCAGCAGAAAGTTCAGCTATTGTGCTTTGAAGTGCTTCATCGACCTTCTGACTTTCAGCAACCTTCTCATTCAGGCCCTTCACTTCTTCCTTCAGGGAGGCCATCTGATCTTCTTTTTCCTTTAGTACTTTACTTGATTCTTCCTGTACAATCGAGACCTGTTCTTGTTGGGCCTTCAGCCCAGCTTCAACCAATTCCCTTGCTTTCACTTCCTCGTCCAGTTTCAGCTTCATATCTTCCAACTCAGAAACCTTTGCTTGAAGATCTTCTTTAGTTGCAGTAAAAATATTCTCGAGAGTTGAGATATCTTCCTTCACCTTGGATTCTGAAGCCCTTTTTAGGTCCAACTCTTCAGTCAGTTCATTAATAAGAGCTTCTTTTGAATTAAGCCTTTGCTCCCAATCCAATACTAGTGATTTAGAAAGTGCCAACTCCTCCCGAGCAGCAGAAAGTTCAGCTATTGTGCTTTGAAGTACTTCATCGACCTTCTGATTTTCAGCAACCTTCTCATTCAGGCCCTTCACTTCTTCCTTCAGGGAGGCCATCTGATCTTCTTTTTCCTTTAGTACTTTACTTAATTCTTCCTGTACAATCGAGACCTGTTCTTGTTGGGCCTTCAGCCCAGCTTCAACCAATTCCCTTGCTTTCACTTGCTCGTCCAGTTTCAGCTTCATATCTTCCAACTCAGAAACCTTTGCTTGAAGATCTTCTTTAGTTGCAGTAAAAATATTCTCAAGAGTTGAGATATCTTCCTTCACCTTGGATTCTGAAGCCTTTTGCAGGTTCAACTCTTCAGTCAGTTCATTAATAAGAGCTTCTTTTGAATTAAGCCTTTGCTCCGAATCCAACACTAGTGACTTAGAAAGTGCCAACTCCTCTTGAGCAGCAGAAAGTTCAGCTACTGTGCTTCGAAGTGCTTCATCGAGCTTCTGATTTTCAGCAACCTTCTCATACAGGCCCTTGAGTTCTTCTTTCAGGGAGGCCATCTGATCTTCTTTATCTTTTAGTACTTTACTTAATTCTTCCTGTACAATCGAGAGTTGTTCTTGTTGGGCCTTCAGCCCAGCTTCAACCAATTCCCTTGCTTTCACTTCCTCGTCCAGTTTCAGCTTCATATCTTCCAACTCAGAAACCTTTGCTTGAAGATCTTCTTTAGTTGCAGTGAAAATATTCTCAAGAGTTGAGAAATCTTCCTTCACCTTGGATTCTGAAGCCCCTTTCAGGTCCAACTTTTCAGTCAGTCCATTAATAAGAGCTTCTTTTGAACTAAGTCTTAGCTCCAAATCCAACACTAGTGATTTAGAAAGTGCCAACTCCTCCCGAGCAGCAGAAAGTTCAGTTATTGTGCTTTGAAGTGCTTCATTGACCTTCTGATTTTCAGCAACGTTCTCATGCAGGCCCTTGACTTCTTCCTTCAGGGAGGCCATCTGATCTTCCATTTCTCTTGCACTAAGTTTTGCAGTTTCAAGCAATCTCTCAAACTCCAGAGCCCTCTGTGCCTCAGACTCAGCATGTGAACCACTTTTTTTGTGCAGTTCTTCAAACTTCCGTGCCTCTTCTGCAGAACTGTGCAGATCCTTTTCCAACTCTTGCATCCTCTTTCTTGAGTTTTCAATCTCAATGTTGAGACCATCAAATGCTTCCTTTAGTTCAGTGAGTTCCTTCTGTTTTGCCTCTTGAGTTTGCAGAGCCTCTTGCATATGGGTTAGCTGTAAATTGTATCTCTGCTCAGCTTCAATGATCTGCTCTTGCAATTTCTTGTGATTGAGATCAAGTTCATCATACTTCTTTCCCCCTTCATCCAACTTCTCCTTTGCAAGCAAAACTTCGTCCTTCAATCTGCTATTTTCTGATTCAGAGTGCTTTAATGCTCCAGTCACTTTTTCCAATTCAAGCTCGAGTTCTTTCAACTTTTCTTGGGCTTCAAGCAGTTCTCTACTTGAATTGCTTAAGCTTCTTTCCATGAAGGTTGATTCATTATCCCGCACGGATGTGGGATTAGCCACATTAGAACCATCCTTCACATCTAATGCTTCCTTTTCTACTTTAATGAACTCCCCATCCAAGGTGGTTTCTTCTTCTTCTTCTACTTTCTTTCCTTCCTTTTCTACTTGCGGCAAGTCTCCATTTGAGGCCTGTAAATGCATCATGCCATCAACATTAAAAACAATTTATAAACCTCAAACACTAAAGAGTATATTAAAGTTTATTACAACAGAATTTGAGTAAAAAATTCAAGTACTCCTAATTTTGTGAAGTAGTGTAAAAGTTCAACTAAGAAACTAAATTGCTATCAGTCAAATGGGAAATAAATTAGCATGGGGATTCAACAGAGAATGAACTGAACTATTTATGGAAATACACAGGAAAAGTGAAGAGAATTTAAAGAAAGATAAATCCTCACTTATTTGGAAAATCCTTGTAAAGCTTGGAATAAATGAACCAGAAATCACTATTTCAAAGTTAGTATGCAAGGGAAATGAGTTGAAATAACTTAAAAGGTCAACAAGTTATATTTGCAAATAAAAGACCAACTGATAAAAATTGCAGAAAATAGAGATATGCTATTTACCTTAACAGGCTTGGCAACAGTTTCAGTGTCCCCAACAGCTTCCTTCACTGGGATTTCAGTACTTACTACTACTAGGTTCTCCCCTTCCATGTTTAAATTAATGCTGCTCTTAACACTTGTTCACCTGTGATTGTTGAAGTTCACAGTTCAGAATTAAATGAAACAAAAGAGAAAACATGTACTCATTAAAAATGAGTTACTGTGACATGGTACTCAGTTTAGATAAAATTATACTAGCAACAAAGATAGTTCTAATCCATTCCACAGAAGAATAAGGAACAAATAAACAGTTCCAGAATCTAGTCTTCTCAGAAATTATATCCTTTGATGTTGAAGGCAGTAACAGCATGTCCCTTACAATTTACAACACATCATAACATCTTATATGCATATGCACTCAAACATTTCGCTCAACGATAGGTGCATGTATCTCTTGCTTAAAGAGGCGAGTTTCATTTTTTTTTTCAAATAAAAAGTATTAATAGCAGCAATTAACCCATTTTTTCTATGAGGAGGTATTCTTATAGAATACACAACGAGGTATTCCTAAATATTGAAAGTTCATTTGCTTAACTTCTTTTTAAGCCTCCTCTTTGTGAACCAATATGAATATCCAATGTTTGCAAATTCCAAAGTTTGCAGTAATTATTAACTTGAGAGGAAAAACAGCTTAACATCCAATTCTTGATTTATGCATAAAATTGGGAAAAAGGTTTATCAATTTCGTAAAATAAATTATGCTAGAATTCTAAGCAGCGGACACTTGCTGTAAGACGAGGCAGTATTGCAGTGGACTCTGAATTAATAAGAGAAATTGGCGTGGGCTAGATTAGGAATCAAATGTATTTGTATTTCAAAGACAGATATAAGCCAAGTTAATTTTATTTCTTTTCTAGTGCTTTATTTGGATGGGCAGTCAGAGGGAAGGGTCCAATAATAAAACAACATTTCGATCCAGTAAGAACTCCTCTCATCACCCATAAGGAAGCATAAAAGAGTCATGTTAATTGAAATGAGTTGCCAATGCCGTGAGCAAGATGGCTATGGCTATGTGCCGGTTAATTACCTACTTAAAAACTACAAAATTTTATCCTTTTCTCTTTATTGCCTGTCTTATAAAAATATACTACGTTTCCAAATTTTTTATTATATCTATTATATTTAGAAATATATTGTGATTTTGCTTTATTGTATCCAATTGCACCTTTCCAACCCATAACCACATGATTGTAAATCACCAAAAATGGACCTCCCGATCAATCATGCGAGATCAATAACTTGTGGAACCCTCACTAAGTTTCCATTTCTGAAATTGAGTCATTCGTACATCACACGCATATATCGTAAGAAAAAAAAAATAAAGAAAAAATTGAAGCAAAAATTTCAAACAAAACGAAAATACCTAAAAAAGGAAAATGATAAAAAAAAAAAAGAAAAAGATAGGAGGCATGGGGAGGGGGTCCCATCAAAGTAGGCACCCCATCACTTTAGCTTAATTTTTGTTCTATAGCATACATAAACTGGTCAAGTTTTTTCTTTTTATAAATTTTGATCAACTCGTGACAGCTAAATTTCTAATTCAAAGAATTAAGGCCCCTCACTACCGCCTTTGTTTTCATCTTTCCAACTTTTTTTATAGTAAATCTTAATTACCATCACTTCCTATTATAATTACGTAAAAGGACAAATGCTTAAAGAGAATTGCTTTATTAATATGCATAGTTTAGTTAAATTATTTCATGTAATCATTTTAAAAAATATATTTAATGAATATAAGTTAAACCTGATATTTATAATTTTTTTTATCTAATATATGATTTGAAATTTTGATAAAAATATATATAAATTTAATAAAAATTTAAAAAATATTTTTCAATTTAACATGTTACACTATACTTTTTATATTTTATATATATTTAACACAAAAATAAATACGATAAATTTCAAGAGTTATCAATTTTACATATTGTGACCTTTTTATAAAAAAAAAAATGTTTTATTAAATCAAATCTTACAATATTAAAAACAGTAATCATCCCTTAGATTCGACGTTTACTCTCTTTCGCTCCATAGTATTAAAATCTAGACCGATAATGATATAACTTGTTCAGAAAAATTAGTAAATATATGCGACAATTTATCAAAAATATTAGTAAAATTCACCCCCATTTTATGTTTATATTTTTGCAACCTGTCAAATATTGTTTGCAAATAGCCAATTTTATTAATTACTAATAATATTATTTTTATTAAATTAAAATTAGGAAGGAATTCTGTACGGTATAGGTTCCTCTGAGATCTAAAAGACTTTTAAACCAATTAAAGACTACCTATCACCCCACACTAGAAAATGAGGAAAAAAAAAAGTTAGAACAGTGTACAATTTTTGAAAGAATTCTATTCTATAAATATAAATATTAGTTTGCTGAGAAAATTAATTGATTAATTTAATTTCCTGCAACAAACAAAAAGAATGATCAAAGGAAGGAATTGGCGATATGATCAAGAGGATCATCTTGTGATGATCAAAATCAACAGTCCAAACAAGTGATGAAAGAGTTGCTATTTTCTTCAACTCTCTAGAGAGAAAGTGGAAAATCATCCATAAAAGAATACAATCTAAGCTATATCTGATCATGATGATCATTGATGAGTTTCTATATCAGTTAGTTCGTCAAAAGCAAATGAAAACCATCAACAGAACAAGAAACTTAGTATCAGCCGATCTTAAAGAAGAAAAAAATAAAACAAGCACAAAATAAAAAAATATATAATAGAAACAGATCGAAGACTACAGGAATACTAGCAGAGAATATCTAAAATTATTCACATGCAACACAGGTGATGATAGATTGAAAAGAGATGAAAGGAGATTCTTGCCTGATGAAAAAAGTTAGGTTGATTTGCTTTGGTTTTGGCTTCGCTTACTATTTGTTTAATGGTTGGGAAGCTAAGCAGAAAAAATGGTGAAATCTTGAGAAATGGGAAACAGAAGGGTGAAAGAGTGAAGAATGATGGTGGTGATGAAAAAAATGAGAAAGACAGAGAGAATCTTTAGTATATAAGCAAAGGGAGTAGGAGTGGGCCTCACTTTAACAGTCAAAACCAGATCAACTGGGTCGGAACGCTCCCAATTTTGCTTTGTCCCTAATACATTTGCCCACTGATTTCTCCCAAACTACATTCATACCAATGTCTTTTTTTTAATTTTATTTTTTTTCAATTTACTAAATTTACCATTATTTTTATTTCGGCTTTTTTTTTTTCTAATTTATGGGCTTATCACCCTTTTTCTGATAAATTATGCGTTTAGCCGTTTATCATATGAATATCATATAATTCATGAATAAATTAAGTAATTAATTTAAAAATCAAATCAATAATTTACATTTCATATAAAAAATAAATATTTAACATAAAAGTGGTCGAATAAATAGTATTTTCTTATCAAATCGTTCATCAGTTTTTTAGTTACAAATTTATGAATATATTTTTTTTATGAATAATCAATTTCTCTGGCACACTTTAACAAATTTCTTTTCTTCAATACGTTACAATGTGCAGGATTATTAGTATTATTCAAAGTTTATTTTCCCATAGATTGCCCTAAAACAACAGGCGAAATATTTGGAAAGTAAAAAGACTAATTTAGAAAGAATATCTTGATTTTACCTGAGTAAATATCAGATTTTGTAGATCTAACAAATCTAATTACATAATCATGTATATTTAAGCTGAGAATCCATAACAGTCTTATATAGGCATATAATCGTTCGAATTTAAGTCGATATAGTATTAAGTTTGAATTCGAATTCGACTTCAAATTTGAGGCTCGAAATTTAATTCGAACTTGATCAAATTTTATTTTTTTAACTCGAGTTTGACTCGATATAAAAATTGAACTACACAAACTCACTTAATTAAGTTTAATTAATATGTAAAAATAAACTTAATATAAATAATAGATAAAAGTTTAATTATTTGTACTAAAATTCAAACTCAAATTCAAGATATTTTATCAATTAAAATAATTAAAATATATTAAAATATAAATATTCGATTAGATTCACGAGTTATTCAAATCGAATATAAGAATATTCGAATTTGGTTGATTAATAAGTCAAACTACTGGAGTTCGAATTTGACTTAATAATAATTGAATCGAATTCAAATTTTATTTGAGTCGAATCTAAATAACTTACAAATATTAATATATCATCTATATCTCTAACCCTATTATTGGCTAATGCATGGTGTAAGTGACACATTTAGAATTTTTGTGCCCATTTATAATATATATATATATATATAATTAATGATAGATTTATTAATTTTATTAAGAAAAAGTCTAAAGAAATTTTCGAGGATGTCTTAAAATTTTTCTTTTTTAACTTTTTGTTTTTTAATTTTTAAGAGTATTCATGAATAGACTACTTTTGCTACTAAATCCGCTATTACTCAATCAAGCATTTTTAAAAATATATATATTTTCCATGCCCAACAAAGCATGCATTTAATAATATATTTTGCAGTGCAAAATATTTGGTCATTTAGGTTATTAGAAGAACGTAAGATTAAATAGAATAAAATATATTAACTTTTAATCAAAGAGATAATCTCATTAATTACTCAAAAGAATACATATATATATATTTATATATATATTATATTTATATGTTTTGTGGATGTACATGTACTCGAATCATCTCAAAGAATTTCAAGCATGAATTATTACTTTCTTTATTTCTTAAATATTGTTCTAATTTGACTTTTTAGTAATCAATTTTTTTAATTTTGATTTGATTTTATTTTAGATATATTATTAATTAAAAGTATGAAAAAATATTTTTCAAAATTTTTGAGTGAAACAATTTTTAAATATATTTTTTAAAAATTAATTTAATAAAATATTTAAAATAACAATGATCAAAATTAAAAAATTTAATTATAAAAAATAAATATTATTTATGAGACAAAATAAGTATTTATTTCTATATATGTATAATATAGTTCAAATTTCAACCATAAAGCTCTACTTCAAAAAACTTATAAAAAAACATACATGCAATTAAAAAGCATAATACCTTGTAAGCAACAGTTGCACTAACTTTACGAAATGAGGTTTTATATATGGCTTTGGCTCCCTCGTTACTTCCATCAATATTTCATTTTTCATTTTTAAAGGATATCGTAATTTGAGATAGAAAAAATAAAACAAATGTTAAACTTTTAAAATTTTAAATATTAATTAAATTAAGATTTAAATTTTTTCTTAATTAATATTTATTTAATACAACAATTATTACCTTTTATATATATATATATATATGTGTGTGTATATCCTATCTGTCAATATAGATAATCATTTATTGTTTTAAAAAATGTTTCTCTCAATCTAGCAGCATTTGTTTCTAGCATATTTCTTACTTCATAATGACTACTAATTAATGAAATTTAAGTGTTCTAACTACAAATGTGTTGCTAATTAATAACTGCTAATAGACTATTTAGCTTTTTAGTGATAAAAATTAGGTAGCATGTGCAACACTTTTGTATGGGGCGTTAGGTCAGTATAAGGGCTCACATTCTTGGGATCTATTACCTATCTATCTATTTATATAATTAATTTTAATAATTTTTATTAAAATTCATATATTTCTTAAGGGTGGAAAGTGGCACTCATTTATTTTATTTATTTATTATTTTTAAATTAATAAATTTTTTTAAAGATGAAGCTTACTTAATACCAAAAATTTGTCTTTTTTTATCATTTTCTTTTTTTTGAAAAATTTTAATTAATATTTTAAAAAATTATTTTTACTAAGATTCACTTATATTAAGAGTATGTCACGTGTTTGATTTTTTTTTTTTAGCTAGTACGTATGGCAAAATAATTAGAATCCAATAAGTTTTTATCCCTTCCAATTTGATATAAATATTTTTGTAAAAAATTGATATTAGATCAATTCAAGTTCAGTTTTTATAAAAATTGAAGACAAATTAAAAGTGAATTTATGATACTCTACCTAGGGATGGCAATGGGTCGGATCAGGTGAGTTTTTGCTTATTCCGAATCTGACTCGACTTTAAACATACAAAACTCGAATCCGACTTGACCTGATAATTTTTTAAATTATTTTTATATTCGAACTCAAAATTAATAAAATATTATTTTTAATATAAATATAAAATTAAATATATATAAAATATATACAAATAATTAAAAAATTAAATAAATAATTAAAATATTATTTATATATATATATATCAGGTCGGGTAGGGTTGAGTTTGTCTAAAACCCGACCTCGATTTTTTTTATATCACCTGATCGGATCCGATATTCAATTTTTCAAAAAAAAAAATTGATTTTAAAAGATCAAATCGAATCGAAACCAATCAATTTCAGATTTTTTTTATCTTCTTTAACTCTATCCCAAGTCACCTTATGATATATATATATATATATATATATAATATTTTATTATCTATTTAATTATATATATTTATTGAGTTTTTTGAAAACTTAATATTAAGTCGATGCTACACACAAAAAAATAAAATAAAGCAATTTTATTTTTTATAAAATATATTTCGTGAGAATAAGAGATCAATTTATGCATGTGTTACTTTCATTTAGATTTTTTTTTTTGTCTTTTGTCTTTTTTTATTTATTTAAATGGCATAAAAATTTAAAAAAAAATCGATGAATAGAATTGATAATACAAAAAAATTTAACGTGCGACAATACACAGTGACCAATCTAGCTTTATTTAATATTACTGAGTTAAATGCTTTGATGTACTATTATCTAAATATTTTGTATGATACAATGGTGTAAAAAGGCCAATAATTATATGATTTATTAGTAAAATATTAAATTCTTAATTTTAATCATTAATGTTCAAATTTAATCGTCTCTGTTATTAAAAAAATAAAAATAAAAGAATGGTTTTTAGGAGGTTCAGGACAAGATGGAGGTTTGATTGGTCATTGGACGCTATAAAGAATTGTTGGGCTTCCTTTTTGGGTTTCAAAGTGGCGGCCTTCCTCGGCCGACCAAACCGCCCTTCTATGTTCTTTGTATCTAAAGGTAAAGGACGACTCTGTCTCTCTTTGGATGACAAAGACATTTGCTCTTTTCTTTTTATTTGCAATCTCTATATTATAAATACACAACATACAAATAATCTTACTGTATCCTTAAACCGGTTCAATGTTTCTTAATTTATAGGATAACATTTTTTTATTTTTCTATAAAAATTATTAATTACAAATAAAAAATTACAAATTTTAAAATTAAAATTTTAAATTTTTTTCACATTATTTTTTAAAAATAATTACATAAATCATAAAATTAATCTTAAGATTCTAATATTTGTTATTTGGTGAAATTTCGAGAAATATTCGCACCATATTACTATGATTCTGAGCTGGCAACATTGGACCATACCACCAATTATAGTATTGAAAATTTGCGAGGTGAGTCAGCTTGGAGTTATAAATTTGTCCTACTCAGCTGGCTTTATATAATTCCAATAGAAATGCATTATCAGAATAATCAATCTTTGGAGTCGAAGTTTTCCTTATATAATTTTGAAAAAGAAGAAAAGAAGTTTGTTGAAAACCAAACCAAAGAGTCAAGTCTAGACAGCTTCCTTCCATTCCACCATTTGAATGATCATCAGCTGACTTGAATTAATTAGTGTGGCATTGGCAACGCACGTATATAAAGCCAATTTGTTTATTTTTTTATAAAAAAATATTTTGAAGATAAAAAATAATTTTTAAGTATTGAAATTTAAAATTATTAAATATCATATTTTAAATGTAAGTGTGTGAATCAATTAAATAAAATCTTGAATTTTTAACTCATTTGTTAAGAAAATTTATTAATAAAAATTTTGAAAATTTTATGATTCAATCAAAATTTTAAAATTGACATGTCTATAACTATGAATGGTAATGGGTCAGATTAAGATAAATTTTTGTTCATCCCAAACCCAACCTGATTATATATATAATATCCGAAATTGACTTGATTCAGCTTTTAAAAATTTATTTCATATTTAAATTTGATCCGATCAGATATTATATAAAATTATATTCGATTCGAAATTAATAAAATATTATTTTTAAAATATAAAATATTATTTTGAATATAAAAATAAAATTAATTAATTAAAATATAATTATTTTATATATATCGTATAAGGTATGGTCAAATTTATTTACAACCTGACTTTAATTTTTTTTTTATCACTTAATTTGACCCGATCATATATTCAATTTTCAAAAAATAAAAAATCAATCCTAAAACATTGAATTAGATCGAAATTTATTGAATACAAATCAAACGTCTTCTCTATCTATAACATATTTTGCGTCTTCCTGAATTCATTAGGAATTTTTTTAGAAGAATTCATTGGGAATCTTATTTTACAAGTTGAAGATATAAATAAGACTTTCAACTATGGAAGTTAGGACATAAATTCTTAAATAAAAAAGTTAAAATATTTATAATATCATTATTGAGTAGTAGTGAATGCTTTATTAATTATACAAAAATTAAATATGTAGTAGCTATTTCCTCGTTTTGTACTTCTCTCTATATCTTATTTTTTTTCCCTTATAGATTTAGGAATAATAACATGATTTGCTTTCTCTTTATATAAGTGATTTATTTTTAGATTAAATTAAAGTTTTAATTATATACACGTATCGTTGAATGAAATATTCATACGCCAATCAGCGATTTTATTATTTTGGGAACTCTCATCTAGGTCATGGCCGGCCGAACAGCAGCTGACCTTGTGACCACTAGTTTTAGTTTTACGATGCTGAAAATTCCAAGCCAGCGGCACTTCAAAACGGTCCATGAAAGGGCTAATCCTCTGGCAATTTGGGGTCGTCTCAAAATTTCATTATGTTCTTTGTTATTTATTTTTATTTTCTTTTTTGCATTTCCAAATTTTGTTTATAAGGTAAAAGTAAAGGATAAAAACAAAAAATTATAATTAATTAAATATGACCAAATAGTTAAAATATTTATAACACAAACTATTATACAGTCAATTTATATGAAAGAAAATTCACATATATTATCATTTAAATTAAAGAATTATATACTTTATGTGTAATTCTTCAAAAATATTACTTGTTTCTTTTTATTCAAACATACTTTTAATATTTTTTTCATTTGTAAAAATAAAATTAAATAGTAAAATTCATTTGTTAAAAAAATGGAGGATGTAGGACGTGACAGTGTATTTTTCACTATGTGTTAAAAAAACAAAAAAAAAATGTGTTAACTTTGCCATGTGATAGATAAACTGTATTTTTTTTTTTTTACCTCTATTCTTTCATTTTTTTCCCCTCTTTTCTCATTTGTTATTCCTTACTTGGTGATGAAGATATGCTAGATTCGAGCCATTTCAACATTTGCTTTGACACGAAGATGTCAGCTCATGTCAATTCTTTGCCAGTGCATGAATCGACAAAAGGAGATATTTATTTGTCCAATCAAATTGAAATGAATTTGATTTTGATTGAAATGTTAAAATTTTATGTTCAGTTCGTTTGATTATTTAATTTTTATTTATTTATTATTAAATATTTATATTTTATTTTAATATTTTTAATAAAAATCTTTTTGAGATTAAAGTAAAACTTTGATCCCATCTAGGATTATTTATTTTGTAACACATATGTAGCAAATAGAAAGGACTTGTTTGAATATGAGAGTAATTGGATTATAACTATTTTTTTTTAAAGACGACTTGTCCGATACAAAAGGGAGAGTTCAATAGCATAATCGCATAATCTCTTGTTAGAGGTGCGTACATTGTAGGGTCCAAATTGGAAAATTGAACTAAACTAATGATATCATAGTGTGATAAAATTTAAATAGAGATTTTAAATTTAATCGTAGTGTTTCCCTCTTACATCAAATAAAGAAGTATAAAACAAAATAAACCAAAACATTTGCTTTGATTTGGGTTAAATTTCGAACTAATTTTTTTTAATTTTGATTTCACAATATTGAAAATAAAAATTTTGATTCCAGTAATAAAAATATTATCTTACCCAAACATGGTAAAAATGGTGCATGCTTTATCGTTAGGTTTGATGGTTTTAAATATAATAAAATAATTTCACATAAAAATAATATGATTTAAAATTTTAATAAAAATTATATGAATTTGATAAGAATAAAATTATATATTTTATATTTGATGTGTTAATAAAAAATTCAAAACGATAATTTTTATATTTTATATATATTTAATATAAAACAAATTTGACAAGTATACATTAATTACGAAATCTATCCCTAACCCCTTCTTAAGCCTTTGGTTGGATGGGCTGGCAAGCATAAATTGAGTCAGCCCAAATGATATGTATCTAGCAAATTAAAGAAAAACATTATCTCCAGGCAGTGGTAGCAAGGAAACTAAAGTGCGAAAGCAAAAACAAAGAAAGAAATGGATGGGGTGACGCAATTGGCACTTCCAGTGCTGGGAATTGTAGCAGCAGCAGCTGTTACCTTTTATGCAGTTAGCTTTGCTGAGCTAAGAGAGGTACCTTTACCTTTACCTTATTCTTTTGTTCTTTCTTCCTCAGCTGTTAGTTTCACCTGGATTGATTCTTGTTTGATGCATAGTTTTTATCTTTGTTGCAACTTTTTTTTACTATATGTTGTCAGTGTGCAGAAATCTTTAAGAGATTTAGAAGATTCAGAGAATGAAAATGGAGGATTTGATTCTTCTCTAAGCTCTAGGAAAAGGCGTGCAAGAAGAAAAGCAGAGAAAGACGCCAAAAGTTGACTGTAGTTTCACTCATGCAAAAATGCTTTTGCTTTTACTTGGTTGATTTTACAATTACTTATGGAATTCGAATAAACATGCCCTTCTTTTGCATCAAAACAAATTCCCTTTGGTTACTGTAAGTTGTATAATTCTGAGCATATGCTGACATTATAAGCTTAAATCCTGTTACATTAGAAAACAAGGCCTTTTTGGCTAACAAATGTAATTTGCAACCCATCCTTAAATCCCACTAGATGAGATGCTTCTGTGTATCTCAGGACTGTAATTTCTAGAAAACTAGCTGTTGCAGCTGCAATTTAATAGGAACTGGATTTATTTTTTTGATCATAGATTCATGACAAGCTAATAACCTGTTGGATTCTAAGAATTTATTGTAATTTTCCATGTCTTATTCCTATATGAATTTTTTCCCTTTCCCCTCCATTTGACTATGGTTAGTTCCTAGAAAACTGTATACATCATAATTGATACCAACCAAACTCAAAAAAGAAAAAAAAAAAAAAGAGTCGTGAAGGGGAAAGATATAACCTTTCTGATCGTTCTTTCATAGATTTAACCTTTCTCGTCACTGTCCAAATTCCACAATTAATCTACGAATTTCCTATAAGCTAGGGTATATTCCTTTTTTGGTCATTTAGACTACGACTGAGATTCAAGATAGCTCATTGGTTAGGAAGGATATAATACTCGAGCGAAATCCTGAAAAGAATGCTAGAAGTCTGGAAAAACAATGAAGATCCTTGATTTAGATGCTACTAGGTTAAATGAAAAGGTCTTCTCTTAAGGATTGCAAATATAATTCAACCTACAAACAATAACGTTTACTTGGGCAGCCTCTCATGCAGTTTTTCACCACTCCTCTCCCTTTTTTTCACATTGGTTTAGTACCCTAACCTGAAACACACACACACACACACACATAGGAGCAAGCACCTGTGTTGTGTCTATAAAATAGTGGAAAAACAAGAAACAAAGTGAACAAGACAATACCACACAACGTATAACAAAAAAAAAAGATTATTTTATTAAGGCAGCATCTGAGATCTCACAACCGGAGATCTCACAAATAACATGTCATGAGTAAGAACTGTGAATATAGCTTTCGTTTCACATGAAGCATACATAATTTTCACCATCATCAACAAAAACGGTTCACTGTTTTTTCTGCTGGGACTTGAGCTCCTTCACCCTCTCCTCTGTAGCCTTCAATGCTTTCCCATATATGCTTATTAACTGCAGAAAGTAATGAGTTCAGGCTTATATGATAAAAACTCTGTTTAAAAGCATCTAGAATTGCTATTTCCATATGTCGACCAATAGAAACAAAGGACTAGAAATTGTTGACAGGACTTATTTGCTGCAACTTCGATTACACTGTGTAGTATTAGGTTTAAAGGCTAGTCATATTGAAGTAGAAAAAATATTATAAGTGATATGAAAACTTGAGAAAGAAAACAAAGTGGATGCAAGTCCAGAAATGGATATACAAGGTAAAAATACACCATCTTGCATGCCTAAATGCACCTGCTCTTCATGGAGGTTACCAACATTATGTCTGAATTGAGAGATATAGACAGAAGTTGTTAAAATTCTCCCATTTGAATGTCAAAATTAAGAGAGAAGTGAAAAGAAGGGAAACTATCCCTTAAAAACTATGTTTCTTTCTCTCCTACCTACTTTTCAAATCTTTCCAACAGTCAAATATTAGAAGAAAAATATGACCAATGAAAACAACATTTTATAAATATATGCCTTAATAACATGAACTGATAGATAAAAGGTTCTATTTGCATAAAATAACCTCATTTCACTTCAAACCAATTCTCTAATGCAAAAACTACCAAGAAATTCAATTGCACTTTAAATTGATTTTTGTAACTTCTTGCTCATCATTTCACTCCTCTCCCTCAAATCCAACTACATTCTAATCTATGACATAGTATTGGACCTCCACAGCAGGAACTTGGTTTTCATTCATCAATGGCTAAAGCCAAAACCTTCCAGTTGTCATGGGAAACTAAAATCTAATGGTCACATGAAGTCATTTTGCATCAGAAACCCCCCAAATAACTGCTATGATTTGGCCAAAAAAAAAAAAAAACTGCTAAGAAATCATTTTCAAGGAAAATTGCGAAAAATACACTCTACAATTTCTAGGCAATTCAGCAGATTGAAGTAAGGTCCTTAAAACCTACCTCATCAACCTCTTTAGGAGTAATAACTAAAGGTGGAGACATCAATATGTTATCACCCGCAACACGTACTAGCATCCCATGCTTCTCACATTGTGCTCCAAAATATGCACCAATCCCTACAGAGGAAACCATCAATAATTTGTTGATAGGGACACCAACATAAAAATCCATCAAGATTCACATTTACTTGCCTCTATATTAAAGCAGCAAATCAAATCTTTAAACATGCAGATAAGATAATTAAGCATCTTTCTCAGGAAGAGTAAATAATAAGAGAAAGCAGAACTTACCCCATTCAGGAGGAAACGGATCATTAGGTGACTTGTTGTCCGTAAACTCTGTACCAAGAATCAAGCCAGTACCTCGTATCTGCAGAATTGAAGAAGGATTACAATTTAAAGTCTCATGGTTACAAAATATCAACTGTATAAATTGGATGCTGCAATTTGCAGAATGTACCTCTCCAACAATAGGGCTGTCAGAAAAGGATTTTACACCATCTTGAAACCTTGGAGAAATGCTCTGCACTTTCTCAACAATATTTCTCTCCCTGCAACGATGTGAAATATACTTCACTAAGTATTATAAGCAATATGAAAACTAACTTGGGTTAGAAAACCTCTAACAATTTTTTGCAGGTTAATTGACTGAATAGTGAATGTATGGTTGAAAAATGAGCCATGAAATAGATTTATGTAGATGACCTTTTAACCAGTATAAAACCTGAAGAAATAAGGTTGGTAAACTTTTTTATTATGGTATTCTTTGGTTATTATTTGGGATATCCATGTACCTTCAAGATAACATGAAGATTTGACCTATTATTATTCCTAGGGTGAGCCAAGTGTCTTCTAAGTTCTAAGATAACTTGAGGTTTCAACCCAAAACTTACTCCAAGATACTTGGCATGAAATTAAACTACTCCACAGATTACAAAATGTAAAGAAACTTTTGTGCTTGCAATCTAGACATTTAGAAATTATTTTTTATTTTTTATTTAGAGGCAGGATGGAACCCACTTGTAGAGCTTGAGTGCTTCAATTGCAACAGCACAGGATACAGGGTGCCCGGAGTAGGTGAATCCATGAGAGAAAGAACCTGAAATGAGGGAAATTAGACAAGAAACTTAAAAAATGAATATTCGTACATGCCCTTTAATGAGTGGTATTAACATACCAAGTTTGTTGCTTTGAGAATATATGACTTCTGAAACTTCAGGGCTCACCATGACTGCTCCGATGGGCACATATGCTGAAGAAAGGGCCTGTGACACAAATGCAGAAAGAAAGAATTATCTCAGGGTCCAAGCCTATTTTATACCTGAATATTTTGTTAGAGCTTCACCTTTGCTACTGAAACAAGATCTGGTTTAATATTGTACTTGTCACATCCAAACATTGTCCCAAGCCTTCCAAATCCACAAATAACCTAAAGCAAGCACAAAAAGCATTCTTAAGAACCAACAACAGAAAGGTTTCTTAAAACAATGATGCTAATAAGGACACAGAAATAGCCAAATACCTCATCTGCAATAAAAAGTATGTCGTATTTTTTCACAACAGCTTGTATCTGCATGATATTTGAAATGCTACGTTAGTAAAAAAAAAAAAAGGCAGAAAAGTTTTCTAAGACATTGCATCTAAAATAACAGAAAGCAACAGAAATATGTATGATATTTCAAATGCAACATTACCACAACTTGGCCTATTTTCCAACATAGAAGCTCCCTAATCAAGAAACTGACTGAATCCAAAGCATATATCAACTTTAATGCTATTTCAAAAATGCCCACTTAAACTGGTTTATTATTGTTAAAGAGAAAGGGCTGTAGAGTATAGAAAGCTTGAAGTACCATTAAGCAAAACCTCGAAGTTTTTCATCATATGGGTAGGTCTAGCAATATTTTAGGCCATGAAAGGTGCTTTGTGATTAAAGTAGAACTGTTAAAAACAAAATTATATTTAAAAGTTACGGCAAGTTCAATCAATTTGACATGTTATATTGTAGAATCTTAGACCTGAAACTAATAGAATCACTGTGAAGTAATTATGCAGGTTGGCCAAGGACTGACATGCATGGGTGGAAAAATTATAGCTATCTAAAGGTTGCAGGTAATAATCCTATCAGACAAAATGAAAGAAACCATGGTAGAAAAAATGAAAATTCACAGTAAACTATTATGCTTTTGGATGAATCATACTAAGTTGTGCCAGCATGCCAATTTGCATATCTATACCAATAAATGAGGAGAAATATGTTTAATTGATCGTGAGATCGGAAAGCAAAAGAAGTAGTTATTCCAAGTGTATAATAATAATAATAATAATAATAATTCAATATTAAAAAGTCACCTTCTCAAAATAAGTAGCAGGAGGAGGTATAACACCTCCAGCTCCCATCACAGGCTCAGCAATAAATGCAGCAATCTGAGATGAACAAACCTGCTGGGTCAGCTACACAAACAAGCCCCTTCTTGTTGCAGAAGGATTCCAATTTAAATACAAAACATGTTAGATAGCATTACCGTCTCTGGACCCTCTTTCACAATAAGATTCTCCAAATTGTTTGCTAATCGGGTTGAGAACTCCTCCTCCGTCTCACCTGAGACATGGATAAAGATGCTATCATTTTAAATGTTCAAAAGAATATCTCAGAAAGATTGGTAAAATTGAAAACCTGGTAAATGATAGCGCCAATAATGAGGGCAGTCCGTATGCAACACAAATGGAGCTGGTAGGTCAAATTTTTGATGTAGCGCAGGAAGCCTGTAAGGGTAATCTAATTTGTTAAGAACTCAAGGATTTCACAAGAAGTAAAAACATTTTTACGAGTAAAGGAACTTTTACCCAGTAAGACTTGCTGATATCAAAGTTGAACCATGGTACCTAGAGAAATTTAAAGGAAGAGAAAAGATGATAAGTATTCAAGAAATCACACAAAGAGAGGCACTGAAGATCAGTATTGATTGAGTAGTTGATTTTACGATTTTGCTCGAGCAATAAATTTCTTCTTATTTGGCCTTCCAAGTGCATTATTATAATACCAAACGAGCTTCACCTACATAAAAACAATTCAGAAAGTCAAACATCAGCAAGCACTACCCTCACCACTATCTCAGTTTATATCAATCATCTAATTATACCCATTACTGATTCAAATGCTTGTAAAGACTAAAACTTTAAAATACAATTGATATATAAAAAAAACCTGAGTATCATTTGCTTCAGATCCACTGTTTGTAAAGAAGACTTTTGCCATTTTGCTTGCAGTAAAAGTTTCAAGAAGTTCCTTTGCAAGATCCTGTAAGATCAATATTTTTAGACAATAAATCCTCGTTATTTTGTAATAACAGACACAGACATAATGGCTATTCTAGAAAAGTGGAACTGAAAAATAATATGTATAATGCAGAACTAAACAACTTAACGAGAGAACAATTCAAAGAAAAAATTGTATTGGATGGATAAAACCATGCGATTAAAAACATTGATGAATACCAATGATGGTTTTGTAGTACGATTCCAAAATGAATGGTAAAATGGCAATTTATTCAATTGAGCAGTTGCAGCAGCCACAAGTCGAGGCTCATTTCCTCCTGCAAGAATTTAGCATTCATAAGGGACTGAATAAAATACATCTGTTCGAAAATCATAGCAATAGGTTCAATTCCTTCTGGTGCTTAAAAATGCATAAGGTACACATGAAGTGGATGATGTGTAGAACAGGCATAGAACTGATCATATCCTGGAACAGAAACTCAACTGAGAAGTTACAAGGTCTAACTCTACTTCTGGTACATTTTCACCATTTTGGTATGCACAAATAATAAAGCATGCTTGATCCAGATACTTCACCTTCTAAATGTTGCAAGTAAACCCATATGCATATACACATCGTGCAGGCATATATGATATGCATATATCCCTGAAAGGTCATACAGGTTATAGAATAGACCAACTGCAACTGCATTGGAGAGAATAAATTTTTATAGCAATAATTTGATAAAAAAAAAGCAGGGATGGTAATAAGGGTATCATTAGTAATCTACTTGAACTTACATGCAGCCATAGAGTGGAGTTAAATATCATCATCATTAAATCAAACCCATAAATATGATAAGTCAAGATGAGCAAAAATACATTGATAGAGAATATTCAATCAGGGGGAGAAGGAGAAGAAGAAAAAGCCAGGGGAAGAGAGGCAAGAGTTGATTCTGAAATTACAAGATATCATCGATACCTAATGCTGTACACCATAGACCAGCAAGAGATTCGAGATACTTTTTCCCATTGATATCATAAACGTAGCTTCCCTGCGCAAGATCAAAATTGAATTACTTATATGACAGAGGGAACAAAAAGGAGCTTTTAAAAAAAAAAAAACATACATTGAGGAGAGTTCATTTGCCTAAACAATTTCAGACAAGTAAAAGAAAGACATCTTGAAACATACCTCAGACTTTTCAATAACCAGAGGATGCAAGTCAGTGGTCTGCCACCCAGCTGTGAATGGAGCCAGCATATCATGCCCCTTAAACCTGAGATAAAGGAGATACATTAATACATAGTATATATGTATCAATAAAACATGCATCTTCAAGAACAAAAAAGTACGACATTAAATCGAAAACTTTTAAAAAAATAATCAAGATGTCTCTCCACATTTATTTTCTATATACACAAACTATGGTATCCACAATCAACAAAACAGCACAGACAAGGAACACACATACATAGACTGAGACAAACATGAACAAAGGTAAAAGTACTGACACATAAAACTCAGTAACGCACATACCCATCACTATCCTTCAAATCTGAATCTTCATTCTGGAAAGATGGTTCTGTACTGTATAATCTGGCCAGTAATGGACACTTAAGTGGGTGTTCCGCCAAACTTCTGTATGCAGCAGCATTTTTTATATATGAACCAAACTGCAAATAGGAATGGAGAAACAAATATGATGGTTAAGAAATCAATACAAAAAACAAAGGACAAAAAGAAAATATACTGGGTGTTTAACAAAGTTTTGTTTATGATTATATCTTACATGACCCAAATCAGACCTAAACCTCATTCTGTTAGCAGTTCCTGCTACTTTCAATAATGGTAGCAACTGGACCACACCTTACATTCAAAAATGATATCCCAAGTTCACCCCTCTCCCCAACTTTTAACAATGAATTTTTATATTCTCCTTCAGTATAAAGATCAGTAACGACATAAAAATTTTAGAAAACATACAACTCTTCAGAAATTGTATTACAAATTGTTTTCCTATTCTTTGCCGTAGTTTTACGTATGTGAGAACATTCAAGGGATGGAAGGGAGTTCCACATTTTTCCAGAGGAATAATTACCCCAGCAACAAAAACATTCTATTATAGGAAATAAAATAAATTTATAATAACTGGATGGAGCAAAAAGTTGAAGGTTTCACTTTTTTTTCTTCTTTTGAAGGATACTGATAAATTCATCCAGTTTTCTCTAAAATGGATTCTTTTACAGTATAACCTCAAGATTCAGTTATCCCTTATTTGGTTTCCAAGGAATGCAAGATTTTAGGAGAAAGCTGTCCTTCAGGCGCACATTTTTTATGAATCCTACTAAAACTAAAAGAATAGACCCCACCATGCAAAATAAGTTAATTACATTTACTAAACTGAATTATAGTTTCATCTAGAAATATTAAAGAATGGAAAATGCAATTTGGTTTCCATCTTTCACTCCATAAAGCCCCAACACTGCAACATGCTGAAGAAAATGGATGCAGCAGAACAATGCAATTTGATTAAACAAAATTAACATCCTAATGAACTCACAAGAACAAGACATGAAGGCAATAAATGATCCAGAATCATAGATTTAGAGTATGAAATGACTATGTTAACCAGAAATAACACGGATGTTTCTCGTAAGCCAAGCAGAAACTAAAATTACAGCCAATGGAGTTAAAATCTAGAAAAAGAGAGTAGATTCAGTAAAGCAACACATTTGTCAACATTGAGGATTCCATTCCATAATTTCTTGAATACATCTGATCAGATTGCCTTTAGCATTTTTTACCAACAGATGCTAATTAAAGTGAAACTAATCATAAAAGTGGATCCAAAAGACACAAAAAAGATATATATATATTTTAATTCTAAATAGTTTAAAAGATGATATTTAAAAACTCTACAACAACCTTAACTGGTCCAATAAATGGGGGGTCCAACAAAACAGACAAATCATGACAATGACATAAAGCAAGAAAGAGACAAAATAAAATAAAAGCTTGTTCTTTCTAACAACATTTCGCAGCAACAAAAACAAAAACTTCAGATACGAGAATAGAAAAAGCATGAAAATTTGGTTAAATCAGAAGACGAGAAAAATGAGTTCTCTGATCATGATCCAAATATGTAAGAAAAAACATGAAAACTGTTTTTTTATTTGAAAACAAAAGGGTTGATCAAAGAGTAGACAAGAAAATGAAGGTATGAGTATTGAAAATTTCGGAACCTGGGTTTTGAAAGTTGATCGAAGAAGGCTGTTGGGCACCATTTTTTTTGTCTGGAACTAAGAAAACGCATGCAAAGAAGAAAAGGCCAAAGGAGAGAGTGTTGAGAGAATGAAACACTTCAACGACTCTTTTAGGCTATTTTATTTATGGTTTGATTTGATTTGGTATCTGAATATATAATGCAAGTGGAACCACCTGGGCCAACATGTCAAATTAAGATAAGATTCTTTTTAATTCTTCACGAATAATTTCCTCACGCAAATGCAGATTGATAGTCATCATCAACATTTTTGTCAAAAACTGAGAGGCTGACAGGTTTTTCCTGTTCAGGATTAGGACAGATCCTAAATTTTAAATAAGATTTATCAACTATCACAAAAAAAAATAATAATAATGATAATGAAATTCAAATTTAAATTCTACGTATTTCAAATTTACCAACTCAATCAATTTGTATTGACCTTTCCAAAGCTCCATTTACAATAAAAGTTTATTAAGCTCATTAAATTTTTCAATAAAATCACATTATATATATGTTTATTTTTTTAAATAAAAAAGTCTTTACTTGTATAAAAAAAATTATAGGTATTAAAATTTGAATATTTAAATTATTGAATTTTTATTATATTATAAATATTTTTATATATTATAGTTCAATTTAAGATAATCTTAAATATAAAAAGAAATTCTTTCTAAAAAAATATTCAACCAAAAGTCAATGCAAAATTAATGTTAAATGCAAGCAATTTGGATGCGTCACATAAATATATCCAAGAATATAAGGAGCTTTACAGGAGAAACTCATGTATAAATCTTACCATTTTTTCCTAATTTCCTTAAATATTATTTTTCCCCAAAATTAGTAATTTGTTATCAACCAAATTTGCTGAATTAGTAAGATTTGGTCAAATTTTTTTATATATTTAGGAATGCAAGAAAGTTTCCTTCTTTGGTGTTCAGGAGACCAGGACGCAACTGTTACCATATTTTGAAATGCAAGAAAATTTTTTGTAGGTGCCACTGCCGCATACTAATTGACTCACTTCTTAAAATAAAATTAAAAAAAAAAAAAAACTCTCAATCAAGGTTTCTTTTGGATTAGCAAAATAAGATTAGGGTAATTAATAAAAATATTGAAATTCACTTCATTTTTAACATTACAAAAACAAGACCAATTAAAAATATTATTAGAAACGTCTAATTAAAAAATAAAATTGTTTTCTTATATTAAACGTCGTCGTTTTCTAGTATTAAAAATTTCACAATCTAATCCTGAATAGAGAGTTTTCAAATTGGAATTGGTTTCTTATGTATAAAAGAGATAAAATTATTAGAAAGAAGAGAAACTGGCACATCAATTACCAATTTTGAATCGTCTCCTTCAAAATTAAAGTGCGTCATTTTCGTTAATGAAATTGCTCAAACTTGAGCTTGAGCTCCATTTCACAATGAACAAATTCAACAGAGCTTGTAATTTAATGCCTCTGGTCATAGTTGAGTGGCATTGTTAGTAACTGACTACTACTCAGACAATTTACATCAGATCTGTAACTTTTTCACCAAAACTGCCGGCTTGTTGGTAGCGGATCTCTTGCCCAAATGCTGTCTCTTACTTGGCGTGTACAAAAAAGGCCAACGATCAAATTTTCTATATTTGTTTTTTAACTTACTTCCTTTTCAGTCCAATATAAGGTGGCTTTAGATTTGAAGTCCATTTAGACGGCGGATGGAATTAATTTAAGTGAAATTAAAAATAACAATAATAGTGAAATTAAATATTTTTTTTTTAAAAATAATTATTTTTATTTATTTTTTGTCAAAATAATTTTATTTTGACAGTATTTTTTGAAATATAATATTAAATTAAAATTTTAAAAAACTACGTTTTAAAAAATTTTACACTCAAAGTTTACGAATTTTATTTTTAAAATTTTATTAATTTACTAAAAATAATGATCTAAATTGAGTTAATTTGACTAAAAAAATCAATAAAAGACAATAGTTTTGGGATAAAAAATATTATGATGATGAAATTAAAATCAATAATAAAATATATATTTGAACGCAACGTAACAGTGAAAAAAGATGAAAATAAAAATTGATCATTAAAAATATTATATTAAAATTATATATTTTGTAATTTAATAATTTATTAATATATTTGATATCTACAACACTTATTAAAATATTTTTTCCAAAATAATAAAATTTTTAAAAAGTTAATAATAGTATTATTTTTACGGATATTAAAAATAAAAATTTTATTTAATATATGTTCAAATATGTTTTTATTTTACCAACAAAAAATTACACTATATGTGACCTAATTATTATTGTATATTTCTTTAAAAATTCAAAAATGCATATTATATATTTTTTAATATTCACTTGGCGTATTTTTGTAATTAAAAAAACGTATGAGGGCGATTAAGACTTTTAATCTTCCATTTTAGTGCGGTAGACTCAATTAAACCCCTAAAAGTCCAGTGACATTTGAGATCTCAACTGGTTGCGTGGTGCAGTTGAAATTGTTCTACCATTTTGCCGAACACCATAAATTAAAGTGCGAATGACTCCACCGCCCCTCACCTGAGCCAATTGCCAATCCAAACGAGGCCTTAGTCAACAGCTGAAACACTCATCAACGTTTCTCTGATTTATTTTGATAAAGTGAAGAGGAAAAAACATTTGGCACTGAATGAGTCTAGTTTCCGTGCCACAAAACCATGACCGCCGCTGCTAAGCATGAAAAAGACTCTGATCAATGGCTATGACAGCTGTCCCATAATATTCAGGATGAATTTTTACATGGAAATCACGAAAGCCTAAATCCTCCCATTGGTCCTCAACTCCTTGTTTAGGAGCAATACATATGAAACTCATGTCTTATGAAGTTCAATGACTTAATCTGGGTTTGATTCTTTTAACGAATAAGAAGAATCAATTATTGAGATTTCTTTTCCTTCTGACTACTTTATTTGAAGCAAAGAATAACAACCCTTTACATCTAAAGTGCTCTCCAGAGGAAGGGTTGGAACCAACTAGATTTCAGTAATTAATTATATTGTGCTTGGCATACTCAGAATCAAATTGTAGTACCCTAAACCAAGGTGCTCAACTTAGTATACAAACTAACAACTCCTTGTAGGCAACATAAACCGAGTAAATTAAAGTTTGGCAAATAAATTATGAGGCATCAATAAAGCTTGGTGAAAAAAAAAAAAAAGCTAAAATGTAACTGGAATTTAGAAAAGCTTTTACCTAGTTTCAACAGAGAGAGAGAGAGAGAGAGACACTCACCTCTTGACATCACCTCACTTTACAAATTTCACCACAAGCCGAAGTGTTTAAATCATATAATTTCATTTGAGAAGAGACCACTTAAACCCATGCAAAATAATCAAGTTTGCATCAGCCCAAAATTGCCTAGTTCCAATGCCCAGGAGCTCATCGAAAGGTTTCTTCAATTTCCGTTACCCTTCGTCATTAATCTTAATGATTTGAGGAAGAATTGTACAGAAACTTTTTGTTAGGAGTTAAACTGAAATCTACCTTGAACCAGAAGGTGCAGAGATGTTTTCAAAACCTCCAGGGACAAACACGGGAAGTTGGTTTGAGACAGAATCCCTTTTGAATCTAGACTCTCGAGGCAAGTTCAGACCCACTCTTTCTTGAACCTCACTTGAACCCAAACCCCTGTCATTTCTCGAACTATCTCTAACTGGAACACTCAAAAGTGGGCCACCAAAGAAAATAGAGTCTCCTGTATACAATAGCTTCTCCGCCTGTTGCACTGGAGCCTTTGCTGCCAAAGAAAACTCCTGCGGGGGAAAAACCACCCTTCTACACTGTGTGCTAGATTCTCCACTAGAATTTGGCAAACCTATTTGCATGGATGATCTATTCCGAGCTTCTGTTGCAGAAACGGGGATTGATACATATCTCCCAGCTTCTTGATCCCAGACAACAGATGTCCTTTTGACATCTCTAAGAAGGGAAGAAGCAGGAGCTGAAAGCAACAATGGATCACTGGTGCCACCCTTATGCATTACCTTTTCATCAGATCCTGGTGGGGCAAGTGTGATGGGATTGCTGATAGCAGGAAAAGATGTCTTAGACATAAAGGTACGATCAGGAATGCCAGGAACTGAGGCAGCTGTATTAAAACGAGCACCTTGAATTTGAGGTAGTGGGCTAAGTGTGACTGACTCATGAATGTGGCTTGGACTGCTGAAGCTACTTACACTTTGAGTTCCTGTTTCATACTCATCATGGCTACCTTGACTTGGAGCAAAAGAGTTTCCTACGGGTGATAACCTCTGGTCTTTTTTTATCTCTTTACTTGCACCTGCATCTGTCCTAACACTACTTCTAAAGCTCATGTTGCCACTGGAACTAAGTTCAGGATCTGGTAAATGACGGTTCTCAACAGGCTGTAGAACAGAGGAAGATGCTCTTGCTCTGGCCGCTGCTCTCATGGCATCATTAGAATCTAACTTTGCAAGCTTCCACGCACTAATACGAACAGCTCTTTTGGGTCCCTTGTTCCCTCTGTCTGCAAAACCAGCTGCATCTGGGTCGACAGTAGATGGGACCATTCCAGGCTCCAAATGAGGCACAACTTCATCCTGATGTAGCCATGTCCGACAGAAGTTTTAAGTCATCAGTCTTACAGCAAACATACATCAATTGTAGAACATAGACGCAAAAGGTAACCCAAGTCCTGGAGTCAAACCAGAGACTTAGGATTAATCTACTCCCAAGAAGATAGGTTCAAATTAATTATTGTGAAAAGTGATAGAAAAAACTTGTCATATGAATGAAAAAATTTATGCAAATATTTTTCAAACTTGGGTGCTAAAGAACCTTCCTAGCAGTATGGAAGAATAAGTAGAATTTAAGGTTGAGTTGATAGATATATTTAACGGGGCAATGCAATTCCATGCATAAGACAAGAAAACTGAATGAGCCTCGGTTAAAATTTCAAATTCATCTACTACTATTGGAGATTAAAATATGGAAGTGCACACTTGACACCCATAAGGAGATTATGGTGAAGGAAGAAAAAAATCAAAAGGATTATGGTGATTAAGAAACAAGGGAGGCTATCCAAGCCATCGAAGGGAATTGAGTGAAATAGGAGAGGCAGGGAGGGAAGAAAGGTAACTAAGTTTGATCATCCTCCTGCAATTTTGTGGTAGGGCTCACAAACAATTTAATGATCACAAAAGAAAAAATTGTTAGATAAAGCATTCATGAAAATGAACTCAGAAGGGTAGGAAGAAATAAATGAAAGGAAAAAAGAGTAAGGAATTATCAATATTGAGCATATCTAGGTCCAGTTACTCCCAGTTGCTCCTTCTCTACTTATAGCATCAAAAAAGATAACCTTAAGGTAATACAAGAAAAGGAAGAGCATGTAGAAGTGATAGATATGCTGACAAAGACACTTTAAGCCAGCCACTATTTTCCATATGAAGCGAAGACACAAATTTCTTATGTGCACCTTATTATGCTCCTCAGAAAGGGAGATCAAAACATTATCGTGAAAACAAGTAGTAAACTCCTGTAAAAGTTTGAAACAAGTACTTAGAGAGAGGGCAAGAGAAGCTGATAATTGAAGCATGAAGGGATTAGTCCTTTTCCTAAAAGAAAATCATTAATGAATAGGGAAAGAAACTCAGGCACGTTAGGATATTTTTCTTTCTACTTCTAGGAAGCATCTTAAAAGAAGATTGACGTTAAAGGGAGTAGCCACCACAGTATATGAGAGATGGCTTCATTTGATAACTCTTTCTTCCTATAATTTCATATGCATTCTTATATACTGATAAGCAGGGCCAAACATCCTAGCCTTCAACTCATAAATACTCAACATCTAAAATATTTCAAATTTCAGTAAAGGATCTATTTTTGAACCATGTTCTGTAATCTTAGAGGAACCCTTAAATGTTCTGTAATCTAAGTTGGATCACTTACAGTTTCATATAAACAAAATGAATAAAGAAGAGATTTAAATGAAAGTACCTGATAATCCACAAAAACTCTAGGAGGAGTACACCATGCCCCTTTGTACTGCAGGCCAAGAGAACTTCCACCACTCATGCCAGTTGTAGCTGATCCAGTTGGAGAATACATCACATTCAGCAGTTCCTCATCCACTGATGCTCCAGCAGGTGCTTCACTCATTGCTCTCATTGCCACAACATACTCATAGGTTGTAATACCCTGATCCCATATAAAAGTCAAAAGGGTTGCTGCAGAAATCTCCTTAGTGCCTCCCCTATAAGTCAACTCTATTTACCTTTTCCATTATATCCAGTTGCCAAATTGTTGGAAATTTAAAAACTACTGCAAACCTAACTTTAACTATGAATATCTTCAAATTTTGTCATCTTTTAACCAGAAACTGGAGCACCATAAAAATAACAGTAATGCTTAATTTGTTGGTAACTAACCTTTCTGATAAGTATCATGTGGAAGAAGAAAAGTTCACCCAGAGGTATGCAAGCCAGGATAGAAACTGCAGTACATACAGCCTACAAAATTTTTGGATCCAACTTAAGTACTTATGATAGTACAAAATCACAAAGTTACACATCAGCTTCACAGCATAAGGTCAGGGATGTACCACAACTGTTGCAAATGGAGCGCGAGAAAAACCATTTCCAAGCCTATCAATAATCTCAGTTTCCATGCCCTCCTTGTTAACAAAGCAACGAACTAGGACAGCAATACCAACACCAGCTTCCATAACTAGCTGAACCATGGGAAGAGAGAGAGAGCGAGAGGCATCATTTGGGAAGTATAATTTTTAAATAACAAACAATTGACTAAAAACATACCCAAACAAAAGTGATGGCCATGAGAGAGGTGAATGTGACATAATTTTTGTGTCCTACACAATTGTTTAGCCACTGCAGCCACATATGATATGAACATTAATTTCCACAAACAAATAACTGGATTATACCAATACCAAACAAGTAAAAAGATATTCTTCCACAAATATGACTGTAAAGAACACTCGAAGCAACATGAAAATATTTACCCGGCAGTGATGATCAAAACCATCTACACATTTATCACAACTTCTACAATGTTTACTAAACTTGCGCACCTACACCATTGAAATCATTCACAGGTGAGAAAGAAAACCATACTAAGATATTGCCAACCTTTTAGATCAGCAAAATTTTTGGATATACCATTCAAGTGCCCCTTTAAAACTAGATCACATAAAAATTCTTTATCCAGGCTAAAAGGATTATTTGTTAAACAGACAACTAGATATTCTAATCAATGTAAAAGAACAAAAACTGAGTCTCTAGAAAGACCAATATTGTTCCCATATATTTTATTGGTTTTAATTGTTGGAATATATAAATTTGGTTTAAGGCATTAAATTTTCCGCAATCTGCTTTACTAGTCACCATTGCCTTATAATTCATCCAGCAGTAGCATTGACATTGACAGAGGACAACATAAGTAATAGCCTGTAATCACATGGATTTGTAAAGGTTTATAAGATTGATGCTAAGCATGTGATATGAAAATCTTGGGAGTAGTGAAGAAAACATTGTAAAGAGTAGCGGACTCATGGAGCTGCTGGCTTGGACAAAATACACATCATCTATCACGAATGCAACTGAGGCAGCACAAAGTGATGGGAAAGGATATCTTAAATAGGTATGACAACACTAACTACGAACATGCTAATATAAAAAATAGTTTACTTTTTCCCCTTATTTGATCTCAGCAAACTTAATTCTGACTCAAAAGTGTTACCAAGATGAGAAAATTTGATGTGTGAAACTATTAGAATTTAGAAATAAATTTCCTAAAGTTCTGTTTCTTTTTAATTTAAGCTAACATATACAGCTAGAATTAAAGATATTAAAGAGATAGAATTAAATGCTATCAATGTTTCATAGTTTTATCTTGTAATAGAAAGGGATTGAGTTCCCTCTATTACTTTTTTGTACATTACTTTCTAGTACATCCATCATCACCATTCAAATGTGTAGGACCCAAGCATAAATTGTTGGCTACACATGTGAATGGTGAATAAAGATATATTTGAAAGTACTGGAAGGGAAATGGACCTTGAAAATAGAGGATCAAGAACTTTTTAATAAATTTTATCTTGTTAACTACAATAAGGTGAACCATAGACTTCTCAAGTTCTTTTGAGAATTTGTGTTTCACAACCTTGACACCCAAAAATGAATTTTTATTGTCATTATTTCCCTTGCATTTTTATAGGCTTAATGGCAAATCAAAGTAATAGATATCTTAGTACATGTCCAATTGTGCCATTAAAAGGACACAATCATTAATACCACCTGTTCCAGCTAGAAGCTTTCATTAGATTTACAATTTCCCCAACGGCATAATTCATTAAGATCAAGATAAAAGCAAGTTTTCAAATTTGATGGGGGGAAAGAGTGTTAAGGGAGGCCATGGACAGATAAAATTACTAGAAATGATGAAAATTAAAGCTGATCTAATATAATAAAAAGGGTAAGTCAAAATGGGCTCCAAAATACCTCAGCATTGCACAATGTGCAGAACAAAGCATCTTCACTGCCTTGCTCAGCGGCCCCTTCCTGCTTGCGACAATCTTCATGAACAAATAAGGCACAAAAGATTCCTCCAATAAAACAAGATTTCCTGGTTGCAGATTGTGCTGGAGCATTTAGCGCTCCATTATCTCCCACCGAACCTTTCTTGCTTGAGTTTGGTGCTCCTATGGAACTTCTTGAAACTGTTGATGGGCATGAATGCAGCCCACTGCCAAATTCATCAGATTTTCTGGGTAAATCCTTCACTGATAACCCATGGTCTATATCAAATTTGTTAGTTCCACCATTAAATTTGGACATGATGCCAGGATCAGAAGGGTTAATTGCAGTACACCGAACATAAAGAATAAAAACAAGGAGTGCCTGCATTGCCATCACGAGAATAATGGGAGTGACATAAGATTCAATGGTTATGTTTGAAAACTGCTTTATGCAGAATGAGAAATGAAATCACTTTTTTTCACCAAAAAAATTTGCAGACAGACCAAGCACCATATAGCCTTCATTCCAGTAACTTGTATCATAACATGGATCAAAACTTTGGTGCAATACATACTCCAGTGTTACATAATAGCAGGCCCTTAAAAATGTTCTGAATTTGCAATCCCCTTAGGACTTTCATGCAAAATTTAAGGCAATAAAGAATTTTTGTAGTCCTAATAAAAAGAAAACAAATGAATTCACATACCACTAGCGAGTAAGTTGCAACCAAAGCATATTCCCAGATGCGCCCTCCAAGGAAAGGAGCGAAGAAAGCATAAAATGCAACCACTAACAAGCAGAACACAGTAATTGCGACAACCTATAAAAACAAGAAGTTAAGATCAATTTCAAGGAAATGAAATAAAACATAAGTAATCCGAAAGAGTGATAACACATCAAACAGAGAGCCTATTCAAAATGTAAAAATTGAGAATTAACATGTCAAATAGATAGGTACCATTTACATGTGACTGCACCAGAAGATTGTCGTACAAATGACACTAACAGCACTGAAGAAAAACTTTGAAATATCATGTGACTGCACCAGAAGATTGCCGTACAAATGACACTAACAGCACTGAAGAAAAACTTTGAAATATCATGTGACTGCACCAGAAGATTTTCGTACAAATGACACTGACAGCACTGAAGAAAAACTTTGAAATATTTTTACTATTTTCATACAAAATGACACAGACAGCACTGAAGAAAAATTTTGAAATATTTTTACTATTTCCAGCTTCTAAATCTTACTTGATTTATTCCCCTTAATGAAGGGGAAAAAGAAAGAAAGGGGGAGGGGAGTTTGAGGGAGGAGATCTCTAGCCTAAGTTTTAGTTGAATTGATATTTAAGAATACAAGTCATTATAAAGCAGAACATATTTAACATCTTTATCCTACAAAATTTCACAAGTTAATATCAAAATACAACACTCTAAAGATTTGAATGTCTAATGGAAGTTAAACGTATGGGGGCCATCTCAAAGCAATGCCTCCCAGGCCTTTCCAGCTATCAATTTACAGTTCTCAAGTGACACTCCTCTAAATAGGAGAATGACCTAGCTCTGAAATTTAGGATTAACCTTCAGCTAGAGTGTAAATCAGATATATGGTTGAAAACACATATGAATGAATTCAGTCTAGAAGCATGTTAGTCATCAAGTATCATACCATTTGAACCCATGGATCAAGATAAGACAAATAGCTGACTAGCCCCAAAGGATGAATCTTATATGCTCATGAAGCCTCCCTCAAACAGTCACCTATTTTAAAACTGAGATACATATCGACCTCTAGACCTCTTGAATACTGACCCTTGGCGTACTTAGCATGTGCCTTGGTTTGTCTTCTTCTTCCCCTGCCATCAGGGTGCTTGGATAAAACTATTGAAGTGCACAAGACTCCTTTGAGGAAAACGTGGTCCAAGTTGAAAGAAACTGGAAGAAAGTGGGACTAGTTTGAGAATCAAACATGGATTGAACCTCATTTTCATCCTTCCAGATTAGGCTCAGAGGTAATGTTCACAATAAGCTACCGTAGGAAGGCAAGGAAACCTTCTAAAGAACCTCAAGATAGATCCAACTCTCCAAAATGGAGATACCCCAACAATCATGCTCCAGGTGTAGGATAAAGCTTCCTCCCCTCAAGTTTCCTAATCCATTAAATCGAAGTATGCCTAAATCAGAGATGGCCCCTTTCATCAAGGTGACATATGGAGAGAGACCTCTTTGCAGGTTTAAAGGAGCTGCAATAAGTGAGATGAGTTTGGGAACCGTTTGTGGGTCCAACATCATTTTAGTCCTTCCACAATCTGCTTAAAGATAATGTTCTTAGTAAGCCACTGTAAGAAAACACAGAAAACTTGTAAACATCCTCAGACAGACATCCTCAGACAGATCAACTGTTATTATAGATCACACTTTGATAATCGTGCCGAAAACATGAGTATACTGCCCTCTGGCTAGCACCAACATTCAGTGGTACAAACGGCTTCTCTGTTATGAAGCAAGAAAATAAGATCCTCTTCCCCCTTTTCTTAAGCATGACTCTCTAATTCAAGACCACAGGCAATTCTATGGAAGAAGCCAGAACTGCAGAATCCAGCATGTTTCGCTATGAGTATTTAATGAGAGTTCTTTTATTCTTTCCCCATCCATACATTTATCAAATGGAACATTACTAAAATCAACTGCTACCCTACTGAGTTACAAGAACCCAGAACTAATACATAAAAATCTGACCCCCGCAGAATCAATCCAATGGTTCAAAACTACGCAGGGCTAAGATAGAAATACAACAGAAGCCATACAATGAGCCATGCTAACCCAACAAGTTGAAGAAAGGCAGTGCTATGAATTCCAACAAACTAAAACATACAAGGAACGAAAAAAAAATTAAATATTTTCAGCAATAAATGTTGCCACTAACTTGGAGGAAATGATTAAATTAGGGGCAATTCATATAAAATTAAGCAGTAACGGCCTAAGAAATAAAAACACAGACAGAAAATATGGATCAAAAAGAATTTTGGAGCATTTTTGGAGGAACATGCATAAAAAAAAGAAAGGTCCATTACCTGAAAGGTGTGAGCAGGTAGTTGCCATCCATGTTTCCTCACCATAACTGCCCCTTAAAATTCACACTCCCCCTACCCTGAAAACCCAAAACCCTAACTACAAAAAAAAAAAAAAAAAACCCAGAAAGAGACTCATAAAAAAATACAGAAAGAGAAAGAGAATGAGTTTCCTCTTTGTAACGAAATATCAAATTAATAACCCAACAAAAAAAAAAAAAGAAAAGAGAGAGAGAGAATGTTAATAATTGGTTAGTAGTGGGAAGTCAGAGGCAGTACATGAAAAAGAAAATGAAAGCAATAAAGTGAAGGAATGCAAAAGAAAGAAGCGGGCAGCTTTACAGAGAAGGTTGAGAGAGGAGAAGAGTGAAGTAAAGAATAGCATGTGAAAAACTGTTGAAAAAGAAGAATAAAAACAGAAATTGACAAAAGAGAAAATCGTTGACAGAGAAAACAGAGAAGCGTAAATTGCGCCTGTTAAGGTGATTTGTGTTGTGTTTACTTCTGAGGCAATACATATTTTATCTTTCTATTTTAAGAAAATATTTTTCTAATGTGGTGTTGTTATTTTTAAAATGTGTTACGTGATATTTGTATTATACTTTGCAATATCAATTTAGTAATAGTTTAACGATGTGTTTGGATTTAGAGGAGAGGAAAGAAAGAAAAATAAAGTAAAAAAAAATAAAAGAAATAATTTTTTTTGCTTGAATAAATATTTAATTTAAAAAAATGTGAAAAGCAAATAATTTTTAATTTTTTTTTGTAAATTTAATTTTTTTAATACTCTAATTTAAAGAAAAAGTTAGGGAAAAGAAAGTTAAATTTTTTTATATATAAAAAAATTATTATGTCTATCTTTTTATTAATACTAAAAATTTAATAAAAAAATTAAGTAAATTATAATCATCTTGTAATTTTTTTAAAATCCTCTCTTTTTGTAAAATAAGTTTCATATATATCTTCTAATATAAAAATTTTTTATAATTTTTTAGTGATTTAATTTTGATAAATGATTGAATATAAATAGATATTTTTTTTTGTTTATGATATATCAAATTAACTCAAAATTCATTAATGCATATTTGTAAAATATCTTTCTGTTTCATTTGATTAAAAACTATTGATATAGTTGTAATTATGAGATTAAAAAAAAAAACAAATATATCATGATCTAAAAGTGTTTTAAAATTACAAACAATGAAAGGTTATAATTAAAAAAAATTATTATAATAAATTATTTCCTTTCTTTTTTACTTTCTATCCAAATAATGGTTATTAAAATTCTTTTCATTTCATTTCTTTTATTAATTTTAATTATCCAAACAAAGGTTATATATATATATTTTTTTTCTTTTAAAACATTTTATTTTCTTTTATTTTTATTTCCTTTATTAATATTTATCCAAACATTACATAAATGTTAAATGAGATGAATAATTTGATTGCCATCAAATCGATATATTTTATTAAATTATATTTTTTTCATCTCATATCATTTGAGTATTATTAATTTTTAAAAAATTTAAAAAATATTAAATTTAATAAATTTAATATTTAATTTTAAATCCTTTGTAAAAATAAAGTTTAATTATTTTTAATATCAAAAAATAAAAAAATATTTAAAAAATAATTTTAAAATATAACAAAATAAAAATTTTAAATGTTTAAAAAAAGACATAATTTTAAAATATCTCAAAAAAGAGAGATTGGTAAAAAACAACTGAGATGAAATGTATAATTATTTTTAATTTATTCATTTATATGTTTGTGTCAACCACGTGTTATAATTTAAAAAAAATAAATCTTAATAGAAAATATCAAAAATAGAATTTGTTTTAAAAAATCTTAATTTTCTTTTCTTCTTTAATCCACTCACCCGATCTCCTTCTAGTGACTAAATCCAACGAACACAGAATATGTTCAATTAACCCCACTCAATTTTTAAAATTAAATAATATATATAATTAGCATAAAAGTTAGTGTTGTTTCTATTTTAACACCACTAAATTTTGTTAAGAAATAAATAAAAAATAAATTTTATCTTCACATTTACATTTTATTTAATCTGAGAATTCTAATACTATTTTTCTTTCGCTATAACTCGTGAATTTTGCTTTAAAAAAAGCGTGTATCTCTACGGATATTTAGTTAATCACATTTTTAATTTTATTTTAATTTTGATTGTTACTTGTTTCTTGTTCAAATTCTTTTATATTTCATTTTCTTATCATCACACTTATCAGCTATAATTTTTTTTCTTTGATTATATTTCTATAATACATATTATATTAATTTGATAAGATTTTGATTGGCAGTTAAAAAATAATATGTAGCATAACTAATGAAATCATTGACATAAATTAGGAACAATTCAAGGTAAGCTTTTTCAATGCCTCCTTTACTCAGACAAACGAAACTGTCTGTGGTGGTCGGTAAGGCTTTGTGAGAATTTCAGCTAAGTATTAGTTCGTAGGATGAGAACGTTAATTCTTGTATTCTGTTGTGTTGCAAGGGCTGTTAGGATTAGACAGGATTGTGTATATAATTCTGTATAAGTTAGTACTGCGATGCTGAAGCTCAATTCCTGTTGAAGGAAAAAAATATGAATGCCCATTAGACCTCGTCTTTAGCTTGCAACACGTACCATTGCTGGTGTGAATTGTTGTTGCTCCTGTCAGTGGCTCCACAGATTCCAACGATCATTGCAACTCCACATCAAACTTTTGCAACTGCATGGCCAATGCTACAGTTGATTCCATGAGTGCAAATTGATCTCCAACACACTTTCTCGGTCCGTCGCCCAAGGGTGAGAAAGCAAAATCTGATATACTCTGGTAATTCAAATGACAAACTTGATTTAAGAAGCCTAAATTAGAGCATGGTGTTCTGATTGAAACATAAAGACTATGATAACAAACCTCGATAGGGTATAATGCTCCAGGGCTCCGAGATGGATCAAAACCCGACCATCCTTTGATGCCATCACTCTTCTTTTGTACAAGAAACCTCTCTGGAACAAAATCATGGGGCCAGTCTCAAAATTATGGAGATCTATGAAAGATTATACACCTGAAAGAATTAAATTTTGTGAAAATGATGACAATGAAAACATGATAGCACTCAAAACAAACAAAGAAACTTGCTAAGGGTTTATGAAGAAGCAAATAGTAGTTTAACTCACAGAAAGGAAGATATCAGTCCCAGCAGGAATGGTATAACCATCTTTGTCACCTTTCTAACCTCCTGTCAATAAAAAAAAAACTTGGCCTTTAAACCCAAAATTATAGTAATTTCTTATGTGTGCATATTGTAAAAGATCCAGTTACACCTATTTGAAACCACAGAATGTGAATGTGCTATAGTTCACATGAACATAAATTTCCTACGCTTTATCTTACCTCCCCTAAAACACCATATACTCTTCCTCGTATGATCACACGACCATTAACTGTCATTTATTTCCAGCTCTCTTATGGCCCTTCCATTATTTATTTTAAGCTATTTAATCCTGAAATGTTAACACTTAGAATCGCCTTCTCCTATATAAATGACCTATATGCTGACAATTTATATTACCCTAGATGCTGACAATTTATATTACCCTAGATGTGATATTATATGGCATTAAATGCACATGCTAAACAAATCAGCTCCAAAGAATAACACCAATCTTCAACATACCGTTGCTTGTTAAAACCAGTGTTGTCCGATTCATAAAATTTATAAAACATGATGCATATCAATTTAACTGGACCGCTTTAACTGGATTTGACCAGTTTTTATCAATTTTTATTATTAAAGTATTAATTATTCTTTAAAAATACTTTGTAAGAGGTAGGATTTGAATCTTACCACTTTAGAGTTTCATTAATGTACTAACCATCAAGTCAAATGCATTATGCAACAATTATAAAAAGTCACTGCAAATATACCAATATTTCGCAACTTTATTTTCAGTCGTTGCAAAATAGGGTTGCTAACTCTCCATTTTCTTGTAGTGAACCTCTGTCCTACTATTAAAACAGTGGTTAAAACCAAATCCAAGAGTTTGCAACCCACAGGGGGGGGGGGGGAGAGAGAGAGAGGGAGAGAGAGGCGCAGATAAAGAAGATAGTCTAAATGAGATGTACCTGGTAAAACATTTGCCTTAAGAGCACATCTGATAAGCAGCGGAGGCTAAGGATATAAATGAAGAGCCTCTACAACAATAAGTCTTATGCACCTAAAGGGTAGAGCAGAATCTAAAATATCATTATACTTTCATACGGTCCATTGTATTAGTAACCAGAAATACATGATGCATCCTCTTGTTCAAATGGAAAATTAATGGCTGTGTGTTAAGCAGCATAAAATCAATTTCTCATGTAATAAGTCTACATGTTCCATTACTATAATAACCATATGATAATAGGACATTTATTGTGAAACATGAATATGAACTTAAGACTCGATGGTATATATTAACATCTATTGAAGCTCTACTCAACTTTGGACGTCAAATGTGGTCAAAAAAATCTTTGGACATCAAAGAAAGAAACAAAGAAGATAGAAGAGAGTAAGTTTGAACATGAAAACTGTGCATAATAATAATGCTCCATTCTAATTAGCATGTTTTAGCCTATTTTCAGCATGCTATTTATCATGTCACAGACTGCACTAGTAAACTTTTAGAAGCTAATTATGACAAAGTGAACAAGGAGCAGAAAATTTTCATCAGAGCAATGACTTGGAGACTTACTCCAACTTTTTAAATGATTCAAAAGTTGGTCTCCCTGGCCCAGAACTGAATCAATCTCTGCTTGAGCTTTTCTAATTTTAGATGGGTTCTGCATTTTATCCAAAATAATATACATCAGTATGGCTCAAACGCAAGATGAGGAATGAGCTTGTTGAATGCTGTGTCCAAAAGTTGGTAGAAAGAACCACACTTGTGCAAGAAGGAAAACAGCCCAAGTAAGAACAGTTGCTTTCGTTTCATGGCTGGCAAAAAGCATCATCATTCGATCATCTCTCTGCTGTTAAACAAACCACAGGGTTGAATAAAGCCCAATGTTAAATACCAGTTTCGCTCA